TGCTAAAACTAGCTTGTATATAATAATTGCTGCCCCCTTTAATACCTTCTTAAACGCCTTAACTATTAATGTGGGAGAGCTATCTATATGCCTCTAAATCCTTGTCTTTATAAGCGTTAATTATAACCTAAGTTCTAGGGTATTACTTAGGGTTTGCGACTGCTAGGGCTTGTTATTTATAGGGAGTAGTAGTAATAGAGTGTGTAGCTTTATATTAAGAGTTAATATAACCTGTTCTAGGTTATAAGGGACTAGTCCTGCGCCTTGGAACCCTCTCTAGATGTTGCTAGGGGTAATAGCTTTCTTATAAGCTGCTTTAAAGCATAGCAGGAACTCCTGCTTTATAATATAGTTAATCTAGTTGCGCATAAGCTTATTAACCTTATCCCTATACGCCTTCTTTAGAGGGCTAAAACAAGCCACGTTAAGGGGCTGCAGGAGATGCAACAAGTGCGTAGGCATGCATAGGGTTATAATCTTATAATCCTTGCAGTATTGCTTAAATTCTGCAGAGTTATAGCTTCTATAACTATTAATAATTAGCAAATAGTAGGTGCTAACAGTATATATCTTTATATGCCTGTTAAAGTGCTTTAACTAGTTAAAACCAAGCTTGTTAGTAGTCTAGCCGTTTTTAGAGATAGCAATAGTCTAATCTTAGGGCAGGTTATTGTCCTTGTACTAGTTAGACAGGTGTTAGTAGGCTTTAAAGATAATATAGGGCAGAATAGCCTATTCTATAGCATTAATGCCCTTAATAACTATTACCTACTCCTAGTTGCCTAGCTGGACCTGCTTTGCTCGTCCTAGCTTCTCTGCATCTATAATAATAACTCTAGTAGATATCTAGCCTATTATAAAGCCTGTCTTGTTAAAGTTATATGTGTTATTGTCTAGGATACTATACTTAGCTTTAATATTAGCTACTAGGCTAAACTAGCCCTAGATTACTGCAGGATCCTTGCAGAGGGCTTGCTTGTAGTTATACTTGCGATTAAAGACTGTTTTAAGCTCCTCCTAACGCGAAACAAACCTGCTGGCCTACCTTAGGCTAACAGGGGCTAAACTGCGCTCTTTTTGCAGAGAATTAGCTATATTAGCTATAATTGTAAGCTAAGGGGACTCTCCTTGTGTAACTAGCTTAAGTATGCACATAACAATTACCTGCTCCTTAGCGCTGGTTAGATTACGTAAGTTAGCTATAGTATCAACGCGTAAAGGTCGTCCTGCGCGTTAATAGTCTAGTGTAGTTTAAGAGACTCTATAGGTAGCTGCAGCATGTTGCACTAGGAGTTTTGCGTCTTGTTTAAGAGCTTAAAGCGCAAGCTGGATCTAACACTCTTTTAACGCGTTAAAACAGGGTTAGTAGGGGGGCATTTAGATAGTAATGGTGTTTTAGTGTAGTCTTGGCAAAAGTGGCCTGCTTAGTGTACTAGCCCGCTCGCTATATACCTACGTTAAGAGGTAGGTATATAATATAAAGCTATAGCTTAAAAGTAAGTCTTAATAAGCTATTAGAAAGATAGATAATAATACTATACTTTAACTATATATATTCCTACTATAATAATAATGTACCTTATAGGCTAATAGATTACATGGGTTAATGGATTACTTTTGCTAAGACTACACTAAAACACTATCACTATCTAAATGCCCCCCTACTAACCTTAATTAGACGCGTTAAAAGAACGTTAGATACAGCTTGCGCTTTAGGCTATTAAACAAGCTGCGAAAATCTTACAGCGACGCGCTGCAGCTATCTATAACGTGCCCTAAAGTACCCTAAGCTAGCGATGCGCTAGACAGTCCTCACGAGCTGATTCTATGGCTAATTAACAGAATCTGAACAAGTATGAGGAGGAGGCGATTGTTAATTACGTTCTTAACCTTATTGACCGAGGAAGTCCTCCCCGCCTCTTAGATGTGGCTGCAATGGCTAATTTGCTGCGAGAAGAGCGTGGAATGCCCTATGTTAGGCAGAACTGGCCTAAAACGTTCGTTAACCGTCAACCAAGGCTCAGAGTAAGGTTTAGTTGCAAGTATAACTATAAGAGAGCCCTCTGTGAGGATTTAGAGGTTATACAGGCCTGGTTTGACCTAGTAGCTAATACTAAAGCTAAGTATAGTATACTAGACAATAATATATATAACTTTAACAAGACTAGCTTTATAATAGGCTAGATAACCCCTGGAGCAGTTGTTATAGATGCAGAGAAGCCAGGACAAGCTAAGCAAGTCCAGCCGGGCAACCAAGAGTGGGCAACAGTTATCTAGGGCATTAATGCCACAGGGTGGGCTATTCTAGCCTTTATTATCTTCAAGGCACGCAACTACCTATCAAGCTAGACTAAGGATTAAACTCTGCCGCTAGACTAGGTTATTGGAGTCTCTGAAAACGGCTAGACTACAAATTAGCTTAGTTCTAACTGGCTAAGGCACTTTGATGCGCATACAAAGAAGCGCACTATAGAGACCTACTGTCTGCTTATAGTAGACGGCCACAAGAGCTACCTATTACTGGATTTCTACTAATACTGCAAGGCCAACTAGATTATATCTCTATGTATGCCTGCTTACTTATCGCACCTCCTCTAGCCTCTTGATGTGGGTTATTTTGGCCCTTTAAAGTAGGCGTACGGGCGCTAAGCTAAAGGGCTTATGCGTAACTAGATTAACTATATTATAAAGTATAAGTTCCTGCTATGCTTTAAAGAGGCCTATAATAAAGCTATTACCTCTAGCAACATCTAAGGAGGATTCTAAGGGGCTGGACTGGTCCCTTTTAACCCACAACGGGTTATTTCAACCCTTAATGTGAAGCTGCGGACTCTATTACCCTAACTACCTACTAACAATAAGCTGTGGCAATCCTAAACCCCTAAAAACCTAATTGAATTTAAGTCGCAATTGACTCTAATTCGAGACAAGTATAAGAGGCAGCAGGGCAGCTTACTAAATTCTGTTTATAGCGCGCTTGAGCACTATGCAAAGGGGGGAGCAAAGGTAGCGCATAAGCTGGCTTTGCTTAAGAAAGAGCGCACTAAGCTTTAGGCAGCTCTAGCAGCTGTAATAGAACGTAAATCACATAAAAGAAGGCGGATTCAGCAGGAAGGGACCCTTATAATTGAGGAATCCTAGCGTGTAGCTACCCTAAAGGAGTTTGGCGCTCGTGGTGATGGTAAGAAGCTAAAGAAGAGGGTGCGCGCTGAAAGAGGCGAACTATCCTAACGACGGTGTAGAACGTGCGGAGAGACAGGGCACAACGCGCGAACGTGCAAGAATAATGCAGATATAGTCTCTGAGTAATAACACAGGTTGTTTTACCTTATACTGGCCTATAGTGGGCGGATGCGGGCCAAAGTAGGGTGTGATGGGGGAGGGTCTTGGCAAAAGTGATCCATTAACCTGTGTGATCTATTAGCCTGTGAGGTACGTTATCTTTTTATTAAACTTTCTCCTATATAATAGATATAATATAAGTGCTAAGTTTAACTTTATATATAATTTTACTAGCTAGATACTTAACTACTTATACTTTAATAATAGATATTATACTATTTGCTATCTACGCCCTAGGCTATACTAGTCTATTCTACTATAGAAGTATTAAGAGCTTATTAGTTCTTATATTGCGCTAAGCCTAGAATTTTTAAATATAATACTCTATATATAGCGCAGCTTTATTTATTCTATTCTTTAACTAGACTATAAAGGCTACCTGCTCCTAGTTACTAAAGAGGAAAGCTAAATGCTTAATAAACTATAGTTCTATAACAAGGTTGAAATCTGCTTAGATAATTAGGAGTTTCTTGCTAATAGTATAAAGTAATTAAGGTAGAGAAGTGCACAGGGTTTTAAAGAGGCCTTATTAGCGCATCGTTGTTGAAGTTTTGTAGTCAGACATAGATTATAGAGAGAAGAAGGATTCAAAAAAATTACTATTTTATTTTCGGTGCTCTGATCAAAGAGTACTCGGATCGTTCAAGCAAGAATCGTCCAACAGCGGTGGGGAGCAATGGTACTGCCAGGTCATGAAGACTGTAGCTGTGTCACTGGGAACTCGATCGACAATCATGTGCTCCCTGCGGCCATCTGATCTACGAGAAATACAATACGAGGCTCGAGGTGAAACTGATGACCTCAATGCTTGGTCGTGCGTGATAGAATCCATCCATTCTCAATTTGCATTATAGAAAAACGCCGGCTTGAGTGGGGTCTTGGCTTGGTCAGTTTGTCAGCTTGTCATCTGTGTAAACTGTGGAGGACCTTTGACTTGGGCGATCCGACACATTGTTGACCATCGGGCTGAGAAATATTGTATAGGGAGGCTGTAATCGTTTCATGTTATGATATACGTTCTATATCAGGCATTTTGCTTCGTGTGGATATGCCACATGGCATGTGGACTCTTAGGCTTATCGTATGCAGGAATTTTCTGGCTAGAGCCTAGTGCCCCTCAGCTTCTGCTTCTGTCCTCAGTCCGGTGCGTGCCATACCCATCTTCGTTGCCATTGTCCCTTCCGCTACCACTGCCGCCGCCGCTCCGGCTGGGGTAAGATCCTCTTCTAGAGTCCTGGTCGTCTTAGATCAAGAGCTGACGGACCATGACTCGCGTGTACGTCGCCTCTCTTTCCACCCTGCGCAAGATCACACTCCGTATCTTTTCGTCCGACTGTTCTATATAGTTATTAATCCGCTTCTTGTCACTGGAGTTTGGCTTGTAATGAAAGGTGTGACGAGGTGCAGCCCATCTCGCCTCACTCAGTATGTTCGCCATTTCCAGTGACATGCTGTAACAGTGAAGGAGACCCCTAGCAAGCCTCAGGTCTCAAGGAATATGTTTTATGGACTTGACGCTAGCGAAAATCTATAGACATTCGGAATGTATACGCTGCTCTACCGACTGGTCACCGTTGATGACAAAACATCTTGTGATGGCCAGCAAAGACTTGTGCATCAATACCGGGACAAATTTCTTGCCTGGCCTATTTACTGAAGCATGCTTACCTGGTCGACTTCGTCCAATCTCTTACGAATTCCAACTTTTCTCCCAACGATATCAATCCTGTACTGTGGTTCTCTCTCTGGTGGTCCCTTTACGCGGGGATTAACTTTGCAGTGCTTCTCCAAAACTCGCATCTTGCACCACGGCCATCCTCCCAGGTATACGCATCTACAAATCCGAAGTTGTTCTGCAGACCGGGACCAACCAGATAAGTCGTGTTTACGGGCGAGGAGACCTCGAAACTGCCTACTGTTGGAACACCACCTGTCTGATTGAGGTTGAGTTGCTGGTAAGAAGTGGAAGCCGAGAAGAGAGGCCATTGAATTGAAGGGTCTGCTCCAAGACGTGTCGACGAATTTGAGGATCCCGTGAATAGTGAGTCCGTGATGGAAGGGTTCTCCCGAGTGACGAAGTTGCCCCAAATGTCTGGAGGCAACGATTAGCGGAGTCCATTCGACGTACGGAGATTTAGGAGCGCTCACTCATAAAAGCCCTTTGGAAGTCCTCACTGAGGAATGCTACCGATCCATAGGGTCCAAAATAACCCAGGGTATCAATCCCGTGTGTACCTGGGGCCACGCTGTACTGGTACTTGTAAGCTGTGCGTCCTCTGCTCGCAAAAGCTTCGGCCATCCAATAAGATGGACACACGAAGGTGAGCTCTGCGTATATGTTCTACGAGTGGGTCAGCCGAGCAGACAAAGTTCCTACGACTGAGGCTATACATACATTTGCACGCTGCTGCTGGCCGGTAGCAAGCCCACTTTGGTCCAATGCACTAGGTCTAGATGTACCAGTGGTTGCAAACTTCACATTATTCGTGTCGTCTGCGATGGGGTAGTGAAGTAACACGTTGGTAAGGTCGTTATCGCTGAACTCAGGCAAAATAGAACGAAGGCGGTCGAGTAGGAGCGCCTCGGAGGTGATGTTTTGCGGCGTAAACAATGGGCCTTCGTCTGCAGTTCTGTGTTAGCTTTTGGGTTGTGGCTATGAGCTTTCATAGAACGAAAGATCCATAATAGGGGCGAACATACTCGCATTGTTCCCAACCAGGACATTACGGCCGTTCACGCGTTTCTCAAGCAGTTGCTTACTTGGTGCGCCCTGAAGGAAAACACCATCAGTGACAGGCAAGAAGGCCCAGGTACCGTAGGATCCTGTGTTGGTCACCGCAATTGCGGCATCCCGTAGTGTCGCTGTATCCTTTGACACGAGGCACTCAAAGAGCGTTTCGTTCCGATTTCCATATGCCCCCAACGGACACCCGGCTTGACTGGCCAGGGAATAGTAGGCTTGCGTAGGGGCCTGGTCATTATAGGCGTACTGTCTAGGAAGGAATGGTGATGCCGCGATGGTGCTACGGAAAAGAGAGTCACCCATGGATCCGCCATATGCGATGTCGTGGAGTAAGGCGGCACCCGCTCCAGCGCTTTCTCCAGAGATGGTGACGGCAGAGGGATCACCGCCAAATTGACTGATGTATGTCTGAACCCATTGAAGAGCAAAGAATTGATCTAACAATCCAGCGTTGGCCACGCCCTTGGTGACCACCTCATCTGAGGCCAAGAATCCAAACGGTCCAAGCCTGTACTGTATGGAGACAACAACAAAGGTATTACCAGTGATTTTCATCATGTCGGTGAAGTCCTGCTGTCCATTTCCAGTTCCATACCCTCCACCGTGGATCCAAACAAGAACAGGAAGGTTTGTCGCGTTGGTCGGGCTCTGAACGTTAAGGAACAGACAGTCTTCAGTTCCACGGGGATCGATCTCCATAGATATCCCCGAATAGCCTACTTGGGAGCACATCGCTCCAAAATCAGTGGCCGAAGTCACTGAAGTGCGATTCACGGCAGGCGCTTCCGGCCGTTGCCACCGGCGTGCACCTGTTGGAGGAGCGGCAAAGCGGATGCTTCAAGTCCGTCAACTTCGCTATGATGGTGGTATGAGTTCAGTTTGTGGAAAATTTACCCTTTCCATGTGTTGATGCCAACAGCAGTGTCAGACAAGCCCTGATAAATGCCGTATCCTAGATCAACCTGGAGAGCGTCCTTGGAAAGCGTTTGCCTCTTGCTCAAGGCTTCTTTGAAGGGCTGTTCAATAAGGACGACAGCTGATATCTTAGCAGCGGCAAACAGAGAAGTAACGAGTAGAACAAGGTGCATTGTGTAAGTTTTTCTTTTGGAGCGAATTGCTATTACCAAATGGGGGATTGTGCTAATCTTTATACGCTGCCATCCACGATCAGAAAGTGTTTTAAAGCGTACCAAAGAAGGTCCCTGACCAAGCTAGTAGTGATTCAAATTGGCAATACGGGCTCCTTGCGGAGATGGCGGAGCTATGTGACCGTGTGTCGGCGAAGGCTGCTGAGTCTCGCCGCGGTTTTCATCTTGTGCAGGTAGAGTGACTAAAGCACGTGCCATCTTCTGCACAATGATAACGTTTCGCACTGATTCGATGTTGCCATCATTATTTCGATGCATGACGAATGACCACCATTTTCACTCTTTACGCGTAAATAAAGGTGACCACTGCATACGTGCTTCGCGTCTTGAAGCCACGACCCCGACCACGACCACTGCGTTCGTGGATCTGTGACACGTATATGATTCTTCGTAAGTGCGACACCTTCCTGGTCGTCAAGACGTTCTCCGTTCAGCAGCATTCGTACGAACTAGCTCGGCTACTTGGCCCGACCGCAACCAACGCGTTAGGCAAAAAGCGGCTAGACCTTTCAATGCGCCTCAGTGACAGGTACCTAGCCTATGCAAATGGCCTGAGATCTTTACCGCAGCTATAGTAAATAGCAGCACCGTATCGGGCTGCCAAACAAAACCAACAGTAAGCAGAGTGGAAATCAGCTGCGACATCACAAGCGATCGAGGAGCCTGGACTTCCGTCAAGGCGAGTGGTGTGTAAAGCGAGGAACGATGCCTAATCAGCTCGCGGAAACAACCTGATCGCTCTGATTGTAGAGACGTAGTTCTCAAGCTTGCTTTAGATGCAATCTGTCAAGGGCGTTTAGGTACACACTCGAGATCGGATGTTGGCGATCCAGCGTATATGGTGGGAGATACGACGTATTCCATTCGCGAGATGACGTATCTCGTCGTCCGGGCGAGCCGCTCACCCTTGCCAAGACCACAGTGCACTGCACTCTCGCACTGGTGCCTTCACAGAACAGGGTGATGGAGCTCTGTTACAAGTTTCATCCATACTTTGCTTTTGTTGATGTCCAATAAGACACGGCACGAGACTCGTTCAGCGACGTGCTGCATCTACTCAGAGCATGATCGTCGACGTCAGTGACGTCTTGTTCTCCAAGTATCATTGAAACAAATAGGCACAATAGAACTGATGTAGATTTTAAGAAAGACTTCACAAGGTACCTTGTGGAAAGTTACTGAGTGCCTGAGCTGATCACATGACTCTTGGTGGCTGCTTATCTTAAATCGCTCCTAGCTTTAGATATGCCGGGCAGCAATAAGAGAAGAGGCAATTGGTGGCTGATTCGTGACAATTGTGTGTAGCAATGTGGTAACGGTGTAAAATAATCGCTGAGGTTGACTAGACTGATCAATTCAAGCGTCGGTCACCCTGATCATGTCCTGACTGGTAGCTTCATGCCGTCTCGTGCGGATGGACGCAAATCAATGGCTTTGTTCTATTCACCTCAGCTACAAGTACGGAGATAATAGTGTTAGCTCTTCTGGAAGAGTTGGTTCCTGCTTCTTGCATCGCGTGATCTGAGCTCAGACGTAGTGAGAGGCAGTAGTTAAGCATGCAAAACGTTCAATATGTTATACCGGGCTTTTACGTTACAAGATCAGCAATGGATGATAGCAGTATAATGTTTTATATATGAAGTACCATTGTGGATATGGACATCTGTGGAGGAATCGGGGAGCATATGAGAACTTATCCAGGTGGTCGATAGTATTGGACCACTGATCTCTAATAAGATCAGATGAGTCGATTCTATATACAAAGAGCAGCAGAGAAACGATTTCCCTGCTCCGCGAGCTTGTCCGCTGAGGCTCACGTGACCGCGCATTTGCCATACGCTCCGTGTGCTCATCCAAGCTGCTGCTCCCCTGCTTCAAGGTGATCAATGTGCTTCTACCGCAACGAAAACTGAGTAATGTGAGCTCTCAAGTTATCGGACGTACTAGTCATGTGATGCGGCTTTAGGCTCACAAATGTTATAGTCATTTTTGTTTTACCCAGCTGCTGTATTTACAGACAACTGGTGCTATCGTTAAGATTCGCCATAGGGCATCTGTAAGTTTCTGATGTTCACAGTACAACTAATATTGGTGAGTGATTGCTAAAATGAGTTCAATAGCTACTCCAAGACCGCCGTCCCTCGAAGGTAGGCAAATGGAAAGGAAGAAACCGGTGGGATACCAAGCGACAGAGAAAATTATGACCATACAGGCTCTGAGGAATTCCATGATGGCACACGTGACCTGCAACCATGTGGCTAAGATCAATTGTGCCCGTACGCTAGGCTTCAGAGTACAGCTTTAGACCTGGCAGAGCGTTCCGCTGTCAAGGTCGTAACTCCATGAGTGGCTACCAACGCCTGCCTGTACAAAAAGACTATCGGTGGGATCGTACCTCTTCTTTATCTCGAGTAGACGCTCGTAATTACCACCATAGAAGTCGACTTTGAAGTTGCTGTTGAACGGATTGGCCTCATTGATGTACGAGCCCGAATCAGGCGCCCATTTGCGCCACAACGATTCCTTATTCTCCTCCGTCCACGTTGCCGCTGCAGAAAGCGCTGCATGAGGTGTGAAGCCTGTTGTATTAACAATTGCTCCGGTGCCCAGAAGATGGATGTAGGCTTTCCGCCAGGCTGGGGTAAGAGCGCCACGCATATCCTTGTCGACTCGTCTTGGACCTGGTCCTCCTTGTAGTCCATATACAAGCCTGCATTGATCTGTCGCAACCTGAGTTTTGGTGATGTTCCGGAGGTGGTCCTTCAAAGTCTCTAATGGTATTTCTGTCAGCTCAGAACGACCGAGCAGGCGGCTAGATATAAGGCTGATATCTCCAGCATGGCTGGCGCTCGGGTTCAGATAGTCTATTAGCGCAAGGTACGAAGGTAGTGTTGCGGGTTCTGTTGTGTTGATATGGAGCGATCGATTTCCAGACTGCTCGACGATTCGGGCCTGCATAGGCTGGAGGAGGGATTTAAGTTTCGCGGCCGTCATATCGTATCCGAACAATGTCATGGAAAGCTCAATGCCTCTCTGTGTGAACGGAGGATGCTTCATGGCGACGTCTCTAGTGATTGCATTCCCGTTGCCCGTAATGCCAGCATCCATGAGATCTGGAAGCGATCTGGACAGCGTTGCTAGAGCCTTCCAAGATGCTTCGGCTACATCTTCTGTACTGTTATCGACCATAGAGATAGTGATGTTACTCACGGTCACAGACCTTGGCAGTGGGAACGTGCGCATTACGTATTCTACGACAACGCCATACAGTCCTGGTCCGCCACCCCGGATGGCCCAAAGAAGATCCTGGTTTTGAGCATCGTTGGCTACTACGATGTCACCGCCTGTTGTAACAACAGTAGCCTCAAGGATCTGATCAGCCGCCAAGCCGTACCGGCTTGAAAGTGGGCCGTGGCCACCTCCACCGATGAACCCTCCGAGACCGACTGTTGGATCTTGGCCGCTCACAACTGTCCTCCCAACAGCTGCTGCGGCCTGAAGGATCTTGCCCCAATTGTTTCCGCTTCCAGCTATGATGGCATTCTCAGTTCTATTTCCTAGAGGGTGCGACCAATTGGTGTTGAAATCGAGCCTCTGAAAGTGATGAGTCCAGATCGAAAGTGAGTGCGCTCCACTAGATCTAGCATGTGTTAACAAATCAGAGAGTCTGATAGGAATAGCTGGTTTTGATACGTACCTGCCGTTCAGATCGTGACCAGTGCCTTTGATTACTATCCGGATGTTGCGCAAACTTGCCCATTTTGTAGCTGTAGCAACTTGCTGTGCAGTCGTAGCATTAAGAACGTAGGCAGGGAGGCCTCCAATTTTGCACACTTGACCACTTTCATATGCGTAATCGTTGGGTGGTACGCAGGAGTTGTTCGCCCAGTACGGGTAACCTATCGACTCCGGCTGGGATGCGTGGAATGTCGAGTAGTGCCAGTTATCTTGTACTGTCTGGCAACTGATCCGCGAGGAGCCAGAGCCTTCATCGTAGCAAGACGATGCTACAGGGTTCGTTTTGATCAGTGCTCCGTTTGTGGATTGATTTAGAGCATGCCAATCAAGTAGACTTGGCCAGTTGGAGTCTAGTGGGTGATTCTTGCAGACTGCATTTGCAAGCGCAGTGTGTGCCAAAACAATGGAGGCAACAATGTTCCAGGTTGACATGATGTCGCTAGGTCGCCGCGTGCTGCAACGATCTCGAAGGGGTGGGGATTGTGATGAGTTTCGAAGGTGTTTTGTCTTGGTTTTATACTCAGCCTGAGTGGATACCTGGACATTGTACGACTTCAAGTGTCCGGAACGGGGTATCACACTCGAGGGCTGTGCATATTCTCGTCTTGTTGATTTCGTAGCAGCACCGCCCCAACACCACCGTCTTTCGCGTCGCTCCGGGCCCTCCAAAAGATCTTAGCTTTGCCAATCTCCGGTGCATTTAGGATGGAGGGATACCTTTCCAGGAGCCCGCAATAGCTGGCCAATCAAGCACTCTCTCAAGGTACCACAGAGATAACACAAGCTCATTGAAGCTAAATGCCCCGGTTTACTAGGCTGTGTAGAAGCCCATGGCTCAACATATAGATTGAAAGTGAACAAGGATCTGTATACGCGTATACCATACTGAAAACGCGTATTTCATCGTGACGTGCAACTTCAGCGACACCGGCGTTTTCCGCTTACCACGTCTAACAATTTCAGAAAATCTGCCTCGTTGAACGTCAAACAACGTCCAAATATCTACCCTCTACTCTGTATAAATCCCGAGTATATCACACAACAGTCTTGGTCCTACCGTCATATTGCCAGATCATTTCACTATACATTTTATCTCTTCGTTTCCGAAACACACCAAAATGTCTGATGCTACAGAGTTCAAGCTCTATCATTACAAACCCTCTTTGGCAGCAGCCGTCACATTCGTCATCTTGTTCACGTTCGTCTCCTTGCGACACGTCCAGTTGCTCTTCAGCACAAGAACGTGGTGTTTCATCCCTTTCTTGATAGGATGTCTTTGTACGTAAATCCAGTCGACTTGTTGGATAGAGGTGGCTGACGTTGTGAAATAAACAGTTGAAGCGGTTGGTTACGTTGGACGGGCTCTCAATGCCAGGGAAAGCCCTGACTGGACGCTGAAGCCATATATCATCCAAAGCACTTTGACTTTGCTCGGTCCGACATTCTATGCTGCATCTATCTACATGGTACTTGGACGACTCATCCGACTGCTGGATGCGGGGCATCATTCGATGATAAAACCCAAATGGCTTACAAAGTTTTTTCTACTAGGAGACGTACTTTCTTTTCTCAGTCAAGGCGGTGGCAAGTACACATTCTTCCTAAGCCTAGCTAAGCCATGAGCCTGTAATGTACGAGGCTAGCCTTTGGTCCAAGACTAACTGGCTGACTAGGCGGCGGCATGCTCACTTCTGCCAAGACTGAGTCATCGCAGAAACTGGGAAACAACATCATTCTTCTTGGACTTGGCATCCAGATTATCTTTTTCGGATTTTTCATGGTCGTTAGTGTGGTATTCCATTTTCGCATCACACAAAGACCAACGTCGACATCACGATCTACAAATGCCCCCTGGCGGCAACTCCTCTGGCTACTCTATGGAGGAAGTCTGCTTATCATGGTGCGTTCTATGTATCGTATGGTAGAGTACGCACAAGGGAACAACGGGGCGTTGATGCAAAAAGAGATGTACGTCTACGTGCTTGACGCGACAACTATGTTCATCGTTGCGGGTGTGTTCGCAATCTGGTATCCTGGTAAGATGCTCAAGGAGCACACCAAGATACACGATTACGTCGACGCTGCCACAGAGCTGCATGGCTATCCAGTGGTAGAAGGTAGTAAACGGAAATTAGGAGTATGATATCTCGATGATTTAAGACGGGGCTGTAGATGTTTTCAACAAGACCATTTCTATACATATCCCGGCCAGACAGGTGGCTTATGCGTAGCAAAATACTTGTGGTGACTCATGTTTTAGTCATTTGCCTCTGTAGACATTGAAAACTTCAAAGAAAAGTCTATTCTTTGTGATGAATCATTTGTAACGCAACTCTCGGGAACGTAGATATACAGAGTTTTAATGTGAAACGCTAGATACCCCCATATACCCCCAACAAGCTGAACGTTGGGAGCAGCCCACAAGGGTGATAGTGGGCTCCTTGCCTCAATCACTGTCCCTAGGCAGATCAAGATGAGAAAGCCAGTACGAACCGATGCTTGAGTATATATGGTCCAATAAGAATAATCCAGCCCCGTCAAACACCCAAAATTGTCGGTAGCGGTGTAAAGCAGCCGCGTAGAAAGCCAGGACTGCGAAGGCCTCCGGTCGACGCTGGTGCAGGGCTTCAATGTACTTATCGGAAATGACGAGGGGCCATGCAATAACAGCATGAATGCCCAAACATTCATCGGTTGCGTCTTGGTTGCATAGATTCAGCACCCATTGCATCCATCCCAGGGCGTCCTGGCAAGGACTGGTAGAGTCTGATGTACATTCATATGACGCCAGGAACTCCTTCAGCTTAGCGGTCTCCAGTCCTACAGCGTGCTTATCGAGCTTATCGCTGGCGTCTGACAGGAATAGAAGTGGCCTGAGGTCCGACTTGAGAATCTGTGCCCAGGATTCGTCCGTGATGAATGTGCGCACGCCACGGTGCAGTTGGAGATAGCGGATGAATGCTTCAACAAAAGTAGAAAGATTGTCGCGATGGTTCGCGAGAGTCTCTCTGAGAACGTGAATGCCCAAGAGAGAGGCGAAGAGAAATACAAGCGCGTAGTTGGTACTGTTCATCTCCTCTCGGCTCTGATTGAAGACCTCCAAGGCACGCGTCTGCAGTTCAGTTGCTTGGTGATGGAAGAGTAACGTTCTAGAGGCATCTTGAGTAGAGATGTGCAGGGCAGAGAGAGCGAGCAACTGGTCGAGAAGAAACGGGGCGACAGTAGCATTGCTTATAGCGATGCTAATGACTGATTGTGCGCTCCCGCGAAGAGCCATATATTCATCCATATGCCCCTCTGCATGGTGCAAGCAGGCTAGATGTGTGACTGTAAAGCGTCCTGGTGCCTGGGGCATTACGGAACTTCTGTGACCAGCCTCACTTGGGGTGGGTGAAGTGCTCGAAGATGGGGGAGCAGGTATTCGGAACTCCCTGAAAGAGCATCGGCGCTCGGACGTGACACAGTTGGTACAATTAGGACGATTCTCGTCGCATTTGATGTGCCGAGTCTTGCATTCAGCACAGCCCTGTCGGGATTTGTGGTGGGCACGGCGTCGCCTTGGTTGCGACACGCAGCTGGGCAGTATTCGGGCTGTCATTGTCGAGCCGAGTAGCAGAGAGGATGTGGAGAGAAGGGAACAATGCAGACCTAGCCCGCAGGCCTGGGAGTGGCTAGCTTCTGAGTCTATACGTGTATTTCGTACACGGCGAGAGGGAAAGCTGTTGGCGAATTCTATCGGGAATCATCCAGACGGAGATCCTGCAGGGCGAAATGACTGGAGGTGAAAAAAGACCGATGGTGCTGCACATGTGGTCTGTGCTTCGGGGATAGCTTTACGCGTATAGAATGATGCCCCGCTTTGACTTCCCTTTCCGGCGTGATCTGCGAGTCTACTACAGCAGCCCAAGCGCATCTAGCGTCAGACTAACGCTGCTTATGGTGCTGATCGTTGAGCGACAGCAGACTAGACTCATCTGAACCGTAACTCCTTTGTTTCCAAACTGTCTCGCCAATACCAGCAGGCGGATCGTGACCCAGAGGGCGCTTTCGAAGGTTCGGTAAGAGCCATGCTTCTTTTACACTGGCTTTGTTTCATCGTCATCAGCTTCACGCACTGTGGGCATGATGAGATCGGTTCTAATAGACGATAAAGCTTTACTGTATTCCCTCTCTGGAAATACCCTCTGTCGTTGCAATAGCCGACTATCGGTCCCCAGGAAGATCCAAAACGGAAGTACCTAAGTTTCTGTATTCATGTCCTCAAACATCACCAACGAGTTATGGTACGACGTCCCTGACGCATACGCTCAGCAGCCACCGATCATGAGTGCGTCAAAGGCCTCTCCTGGCTGTACCGGTTCGACAAGTGTGTGCTATAATATGCTGGGTTGGGAGACGGCTGACCATATATAGACGATGGCCGAATCGCAATCGACCTTGACTCGCACCTCACAAAAACCCTTGTCAGGCTTGTGCCGAAGAACGAACTGACACCCATGGAATGTCGACTCAGTCGACGATTCACGGTTCAGAGATCATGGAATATTCAGCTCAACGTCGTCATCCAGGTTGTTGGCAGCCGTGGCGACGTGCAGCCCTTCATAGCGCTTGGGCAGGAGCTCCAGAAGTACGGCCATCGCGTTCGGTTAGCTACCCATCCAGCGTTTGATAGTTTTGTCAGAGATGCAAACCTAGAGTTCTACCCTATCGGCGGCGACCCAAAGGAACTGATGGCGTACATGGTAAAAAACCCAGGCTTGATCCCTTCAATGAAAAGTCTTCGAGAGGGCGACATACAGAAGAAACGGACTATGATTACCGAGATCCTTGATGGATGCTGGAGATCATGTATAGAACCTGATCTGGAATCACAGCAACCCTTTGTTGCTGACGCTATCATTGCAAATCCACCCAGCTTTGCACACGTGCATTGCGCGCAAGCCCTTGGAATCCCGCTGCACCTCATGTTTACAATGCCATGGACTAGCACAAGAGCATTTCCGCATCCCTTGGCGAACTTCAAGGTTGGGGAGATTGATCCTGAGTTGATCAACTATGCGTCATATGGGATTGTAGAATGGCTTACGTGGCAGGGTCTTGGGGATATCATCAATAAGTTCAGGCGTTCTCTGGACTTGGAAGCAGTACCGACTACAGAAGGACCAGTCCTTGCAGAAGCGCTGCACATACCGTTCACATACTGTTGGTCTCCAGCGCTCATTCCTAAACCAGCGGATTGGCCCTCACATATCGATGTATGCGGCTTTTTCTTTCGTGATCCACCCCACTACACCCCACCTACAGAGATTGCTCGGTTCCTCCAAGCTGGACCACCGCCTGTCTACATTGGCTTTGGTAGCATTGTTATTGATGATCCAGCAAAAACAACCTGTACCATCTTAGAAGCTGTCCGCGAATGTGGAGTACGAGCGATCATCTCAAGAGGGTGGAGCAATCTGGGCGAAGGTGTTCCTTCTGAGAGTCACGACGTCCTGTTCATCGGCGACTGTCCACATGAATGGCTGTTTCAGCACGTCTCGGCTGTTGTTCATCACGGAGGAGCAGGCACGGCTGCGTGCGGTATGCGCAATGCGTGTCCTACCGTCATCGTGCCATTCTTCGGTGACCAACCGTTCTGGGGCAAAATGGTTGCAGCAGCTGGTGCAGGTCCAGACCCTATCCCCTATGATACTTTGACCAGCCAGTCTCTTAGAGAAGGGATAATGTTTTGCCTGTTACCCGAAGCTAAGACAGCAGCTCGACGCATAGCCGCACAAATCTCCAACGAGGACGGCATCAAGGCTGCAGTACTGTCCTTCCATGCTAATCTACCACTAGAAACGATGCAATGCAATATTATACCTCATCTCCCGGCATCGTGGATCTACAAAAAGATGCCTATCCGCCTGTCGAAGCTTGTAGCTCAGACCCTTATTCAAAATGGCATAATAGCGCCAACAGATGTCTCCAGCTTACAGACCCATCCTATCCATATCGAAAACATTCGCTGGGACCCCATCACAAGTACCAGTTCTGCACATATCTCCGTCGCTGCAAACATGGGCAGTGCATTCAAGGACATGTTCTATAATCCTTATTCAGAGTACAAGCGCTCCAATACCGATTCCTCAAAAACCCACACCACAACTTCAACTCAAGTGGTAACAGCAGGCAAAATGGCAGCAGCATCGGCGAGAGGTTTCGGGAGGCTGAACATGGCGTTCTTTAGAGGTTGTATCGTCGACATTCCGCTCGCGGCAGCAGAAGGCTTCCGCGCAGTGCCAAAGCTCTACGGCGAAACTGTAATGGATCACGGCAAGGTGAAAGACGTTAAGAGTGGATTTGATGTTGCAGGAAGGAATTTTGCGCATGGCATGACTGACGGGTTCACAGGCCTGTTCATGCAACCCTACAATGAGGCAAAGAGGGAAGGTGCTCTCGGTTTTGCTAAAGGTTTAGGCAAGGGAACGGTGGGGTTTGTAACGAAGACTGCATCCGCCACTTTGGGGATCGTGGCATACCCTGGACAAGGTATAACAAAGAGTATACGGCACGCTGCAAGGAGTGAGACAAGGAAAAGGATCAGAGACAGGAAGAACAGCGAAGGGGAGTATCTCACACGACAGCCTGGGACGGGGAAGGATGCAGTTGGGCTGATCAACGCCTTCAAGCTACTGGTCGGTGAAATACCAACGTGATAACATTTTACATGATTCGACGCGATAGATAGGTAGCAAGCGGTTTACTGCTCTCAGGAGCTCTAGAGACAGATGTGTTGCTATACATGTACTTGAAGGGGTCTATCGTCAATAACAATAATTGTCGCTAGAGCAGACTTCGGTGGGCCAGCCTATGCGATAAAGCGTGGGATATCCTTATTTTCGGAAGCTTTGTCTCTTTGCTGTCCCCCTCCAATTTGCGCACTGTGAGCTACCTTGCAGCGAAATTGGAAGCTGCCTTCCACTTGTAACGCTGATCGCTGATTCGGGAAACGTACGGCCTTTTACGCTCGAGTTTTCGATCACTCTTTGGCTTTCCTTCTTTCCTTTTCGAACCTTCACCATCAAAGCTATTTGCACAAGTGACAGGTCTTCTACCACCTTTATCCCCAAGAGAAAAGAACAAAGAAAGCATACAACTTTGCAGCAGCATGCTTGTGGATTTCTTCTAGTAAGTAGCACTACAACGTCTTTTTGGCGCGCTTTTTCTTGCGGTCTATCCCATGTTGTCTAGCGTACGTAGGAGGCGCTAATTCGCGCGTTCGCAACGCTGACATCAAAACTTAGTATTGGCGTGACTCGGCCTGGGAAGAAAACACGACCTGAACGTCGAAATAAGGGACATGCTGGTAGAAACTACAGCATAACGCTACGTGTGGTTTAACAGAGAACCAAATCGTTCAGCGTGAAGTAACCAGGTTTTGGGAGGAGGCACCTCAAGTCACCACAGATGTCAGCATATCCCAAGACTCTGCTTGCTACGATGCATTTATCTCCCCGACGGTGCTGCAACACTAAAGCTTAATGCGTTCACAAATTTTAGCAGTCTCTCGTCGATCGGACAAGCTTGCCTTCAAGAAGCCATAGAAATCATGGCAGGCAACAACATTGTCAGGGCTGAGACCGGGTGCTTGCTGTCGTCGTGATGGCATGCGCCGCTAGTGAGCCTGTGATAGCGAGGGAGATTCAGTAGTGACCTTAGGGCCACAAACTGAGAAACAGCCGGCGCGCATGTCATCCCGCAGCGCACCGCTTGGGTCCGCATGCAATTTTCTGACAACAACTCGGGCAGTCAAACCTAGCTCGCGCACCGGAGACTGCCTCCCGCTCAGCAACGCCCATCTCTTATATCTCCCCGCCCCTGTTTGAGTAGCCGCAGGCACAGAGAGATACCGTCGTCCGGCGTAGTGACGCCCTGTCGCTCCCGTAACAATCTCGTGTCACTGCAACGGCTGTTCGGATAGGAGGCACAAAAGTGTAGATCTGAAAAGCGGCGGGGACCAAGGGACCAAGGCAGCGGTTAGCCAGGCGGCGCGCGCTTGATATGTGGAGGTACACTGGGTGTCGGGCTGGTCGCCGAGCTGACGATGCTGGCGTTGGCGGCATTACTCTGTTCGGCAACAGGTCGCGCCAGGGTCCCGCGCCGCGGCGATCCCGCCCCGCATCCCGCGGTTCGTGAATTTCCACCGGTAGCCAAGGTCGCTGCGTTTTTGGTGACGATTCAATTGCGCTTCCCAACCCGGTCGGTCCTCGTTCTTCGTTCTTCGCTCCTACATTGACCCAGCCTACTGCACACATACGGATGACCCTCTACACAGGTTCCGTATGGCAGGAATTGCGAACGCAGTACAAACGCCAACCGCACAGCAGGTCAAGAACCGGAAGCAGTGAATGCAGAGATCGCGCATTATGGAATTCACTTTTTTCTGTGGCTAACCAGGTTACGCCGTAACTTATCTCACGCAACACCCAACTTCAACTAGATCGGTTCGAAGTGCGGCGATGCTGAGGTTGTATCCGACGCTCAAGACAGTACGCCTGTCCAACAAGCGCAACTGCTTGTCCCCGGCTTCTGCAGCAATTGACTGTAAGTATACGGTTGCCTGTTCAGGCATTATCAAAGCTTGGAACGGCCACACCGATTCTCAACCTCTCTCTCGGATGCGACAAGCTTGGTATGGTGTTATTCACGTCTGGTTAGCTATATATGACCTGCCGTTGCGCCATACTGAATGTCCGGGACAGTCCGAGTTCATAGATCAATCGTCCCGCAATATCAATTCAATCGCTGTCAACTTAGTTGTTAGCAGGAGACGCAAACACTTTCATCTTTGACATCAGACACAACTTGTCACAATCACCCTTCTGGAAAAAAGGCGGGTGAATGGGGTCCTCACCTACCACATTGCACACGCAACGTATCTTTTTAGGCGATAATTACTTTCTGTTCTCAGCCTCAGCGTAATGTTTGTACACGTTGTTATAAACGATGTCAAGTGCGGAATTCTATATGTGGCGTGAGGCGATGGTCAGGTCCCCTCACCTAAACGAAAACACAACCACATCGATGAGACAGGCTTGATGATGTGCATGATATCTATAGGAGCGTCCTATATGGACGCAGATGAACCGAGAAAGCCTGAGGCGATTCAAACAGTACAATCGGAAGTGGATCACAGTTTGCAGGGCCTTGTAAAATGGATCTGAGAGGACCCCTTGAAGCCTTGAGTGATGAGAGGATTATCACTCCATTAGATGTATCGTATTTACATGATAACTTTGCAGTAATCTTTGGAATTTCTGTTTCATTGCATTCTCCCTTATAATTGCTTGAAACCTGCCATGTTCTCGTCAGCCCCCCCCCCCCCCCCCCTTCCAATGACTTAAAACCTTCAGTTCAAGCACTAGGAAACAAATTCCAGTCATGCTATGTCCCGCAGAAGCATAGCCTGTTAAAGCTTGAATTCCTCCTCTTCAACATCATAGGCCAGAGGTTTTTGCCGAAGCCCCAACTTGTCTAAGCCAGCCATATTATAGACCCATAAGCCTCCAGAAATAGCCCTCTCATTTGCCCATAGCTCCCACGCCCCCTTTTTCCTGCGGATGGAGCCATTACTCTCTGTTGTCTTTAACATATCTTCCGTCCGCGCCTTCCGCTTCTCCACGTACACCTGCAGTGCATCCTCAATACTGTTATATTGACTATCCAATAGCTTTGAAAACAGAAATGCATCTTCCAGGGCCATGGATACGCCTTGGCTAGCGTGAGGTGGCATTGCGTGCGCCGCATCTCCAATGATAAGACAGCGGCCTTTGTGCCATTTCCGTCCTGCTGGGATCTTGTAGATAGGGTAGAAGCGTACATGCTCTGTTTTGTGCACTATGTCGCGCAGCATCTCAAGCCATCCCGAGTCTGCATCGCCCAGAGTCTGCAGCAGTGTGGTCTTGACAGCGTCAATCTCTTGCTTGCTGCGCTGTTCCCAGCCGCTGCGATTGTCACCCTCTGAGGGAATCGTAACTTCTCGGGAGAAGAACCAATATAAGGTATCTCGAGCCTGGTTGACAGGGGTGATAGCGAATAAACCGTCGGAGGTGAGGGTCATGTTCAGGCCGGTCATCGATTTAGCAGACGGTGTCAGCATTGATGTGGACAGGAGCGAGTACATATTGGCTATTCCAGTATACTCTGGCTTGCATCCAGGATCCACGTACAGCTTGCGAACCGAAGAATGTATACCATCGCATCCAAGGAGAAAGTCTGCCGATTCAGTCGTGCCATCTGAGAACGAAGTTGTGACTATGTCATCTTTCTCCTCGATGCTAGCAAGATGTTTGCCGTAATGTATAGGGATTTTTGCAGCATTTGCAGCATCCAGAAGAACGTCCATGAGATCGGTTCGTCGAATTCTCATGTAACCAAATCCTGTGGTTTTTCGGCTCCACGACACCATGTCAATCTTGCCCATGACGGCACCCTTCAAGGAGTGTATGACCATGTCTCTCGTATCTTCACCCTTCTCTGTAAGCTTTTCGTAAAGGCCGAGTCGTTGTAGCAATCGCAGGCCATTTGAGGGTATACCTATCGCTCCGCCAAGTGTGGTTGGCTCTTGTCGAACTTCGTATATCACGCAAGCGATTTGATGGCTCTGCTGAAGTCGAAGCGCTGTTAATATTCCTGCAGGCCCGCCACCAATAACTATGACCTGGAAGATGATAAGTTGTACGCACTTGGGTTCTCAGAGTCGCAGCACTGCACCTTTCTGATGCTGTTCATCGTGTCTGTACGTAAGCCGGGACAGATATATGGGTAAGCAATTGGAAGGATGTAGGCAAAGTAGACTTTCCGCCCTCTCTAAGTAGAATTAGTCGACATGAGGAGCACAGGGCATACATCTGGGCCGAAAACGCTCTAGCTTCGGTGAATTGAACTCGGCCGAAGAATTTGCCGACAATGGGAAATCAAATCGCCCCATAACGCGAGGTCTCGCATCTCGCCTAAAGCCTTTCAACAAGCTGATGCCTGCACCAATGTGACGGTGCCCACGTCTAGTGCAGGTGCGAGTGCAATGACCAGGTGCACGTGTATCGACGTGCACCGGAACCAACACCTATACCTCCTTTCCCCTCTCTCCATTGTTTCTACCCGTAGATATTGCTGTGTCTGTCACAACAGCTCTAGATTCAATTGAAGCCCGTCCTACGCGTCTCGCTGCGTAAGGACTTCACGATCTTTGCACTCCGAACATGGGTTACGACCATCACTTCGAAACCTCACCAAAACTTCACCATTCATCGTTGTGCCTCAATGCACGATGAAAGACCAGCTCGGAATATGATATGTAGGCAGCTGGGACCTTAGAATATAATGAAAACCTGACAATCATCACGACGTGTATTACAAAGCTCTAGAGAGTAACGCAACTGCAGCCCCAACTCCTTGAAAGTCAACGAAAGAAGAAAGAGCAACTCCCCAGCACACTTGTGACCAAGACGCGTGATAACTGGTGTCCTGGCTTGCCGCTGTGCCAAAAAAATGGTCAGCGTCCTACTTGCTAAGCGTCACCAAGACCTAGTTTGGATTGTGTGGGCTCTGACCTTTGTATACCAGAGCTCATGTTTGATTTCCGTACGAAGCATGAAAATTCTCTGCAAGAGTCTCAAGCTTAGTGGACACAGGCTCAAGTTTGTAGAGAAAACGAAATCAAAGTACGGTATCATGAATAAAGAAGCCACAACTTCATAGAGACTATCTTCATCGGGAACATGCGCTCGACCAGAATACATACCACAAGATGTGAATACTAACCAAAGATGAATAAATTAAGCAGACTACTAAGGGTGAGCTAAAGCCCTGATATTTCGCGGTAAGCACCACTCTTCCGCCTCATCAAGCCGTCTTAGGGGCTAATTAGATCCTTCAGTGCTGCATAAATGTTCTCCGTACATGTGTCTAATCTCGGTTCTCGTGCTTATTATGGTTTTTGATAGAAGCTTTCGTACGTGGCGGTGTTGCAGCCTGATACACATGGTGGCCGCCGTAAGGTTTTCGTGCGCAAGGTCGTGAAGCACTTTGTTATAGTCGTTGTAAATGTAGAAAAAGCTTCAATACATTGACTCCACTATCTTAACTATAGCTGTTCTGTAGGACCTTTGGAAAAAGTTCGCCAAACGGCAGTCTCAAACCTCTAGTTTAGTTCCTAGGTTTTGCTGTCTCCCTATAGCATAACTTGCGTTGCTATAAATAGCGCAATTCCACGCTTATAATTAATACTCCAGAGCAGATTCAGTAGGCCTGTCCACGCCAACATAGTCTTTAGTCTGAAGAAGTTGTTGCAATCAACGTCCTTCATAACTAGCAAGCTGCTAAGTCCTTGGTTCGCGTCTATGCTATCTATACTACCTCTAACTAAGCACTAGTATAACAATAGCGCTAAAGTGATTAAGGCTTTGTATAAGGAGCTGCCAGGCATAAATTGTAGTATAAACATCTTATTTACGCTGCTTCTTTTTAAAAGCGTAGGGGAGTCTCTTAGCAGGTTAGCTAGCACGTAGGTGAAGTCGTAAACATTAGAGTACATTCCTAAGCTACTGCCTTCCTTTACAGGATCAGGCTACACTAGCGTCATGCTATTAACTAGTGTGCTATCTTGCTAACGCGTTATTATGCGCATAAGCTTGTTAGCCACGTTGGTTTTACGTAACAAGTGCTAGGTAAACAAAGAGATATTAAGCAGTTGCATAATATGTTTCTTAACATAATCCTAGAACCCTATGTTAGTAAGGCGCTCCAAGAGAAGGCTGGCCTAGTCTAGGCTACTAGTATACATCCAGCTTATACCTACCTTAGAGGTCTAGGGATACGCGCAACCTCTTGCAACGTTACTGTCTATAAGCATTACTAGTACTTCACCTTAAAGATTGCGCTAGACTTTTAAGACTAGGTCAATCCAATCTTGTAATGCTCTGCTAGAGTATATAATAAGATAGCGCAATATAATTAACTGTGTAGGTTTATAATAAACAAGTTCTCCACTGTTGTTTTGCATAACAATCTTCTAGGAGGCTAATTCCAGGAGGTGTTCGTTAATAGGATTATCTAAACCAATGATCCTGCGTTTAACAAGCTAGAGAGACGCAATAGTAGTAATAAGCTTCATGCAAGAGGCAACAAAAAAGGTTATATCAAAGCTTAATAGCTTAGCATCTACCTCAACACTATTATATCCTAATGCATTCTTATAGAGGAATTCACCTTTGCAACTAATTAGCAGTTTAAAGTAGAAACAAGACTAGCAGCATTACCATCCTTGTCCACAACAGCCATAACAGCGCCAGGTACTTTATTCGCCCCTCTAACAGTGGCTTGCCTAAGAAACTCTTCAAAGTCTTCTATAGCTTGCAGCTGGTTAATTTGTCTAGAGGTGAAATGTCAGGCAGCGACAATAAATGTGCAGATAGGATTTAAGCAATTAAGCAGATAACTTCGCAACATGGACAAAGAGATGCCTCTATAACCTTTGGTCACTTTATATATTCCTCTTGCTATTTAGCTGTTTTCGGGATCTTTTGTGGCCGGGAAATGTGCGTTGCAACAATAGTGGGGACGGTTGCTTATAGGTCCGCTCTTACGGGACAACTTTAGAGCTTGCACTCTCGGCAATTACAAGGTGTTGTCGGCTTTAGGGCCACATCGTTGGCCTTCTCGATCTATGACCGTCAAGGCGAAGAGAATCCTTACTGCATTCTTGCTTGTATGAGCAGTGACAACGGCTTCTCACCTTATATGTCGTGTTTTACAGATAAACAACGGCATCACCACATCCCACTGTGCGTTGAGGACAACATTAGTGGCTTTTCTCTATTACGCTATGAATATGCCTGTTTCGATCAGCACGTATTCCTTTTTGTCTCTCCAGTATCGAGTTCACTCCTGCCGAAAGGCCGAAAAGACCGGAGACATCGACGTGGTCCTTGCACGCTACGCGTAGTACCACACCTTCGGCCGAGCCTGGCGGCGGTATCAGTATAAACATGACTTTCACGTAGATCTCTTCTGAGGGATTTTATTATACCCCAATCTCCACTTCAGCAGCTAGAACCGAGCAGTGGTTACACACAAGGGTTTGTTTATGAGTCACATCTTCTCTTCCTAGCTCCATATTGGCCACTTTCTACAGATCACATGGAGCTCGGGTCAGAACATGAGACTCATTTATCATATCTTTCCCGTCCCTAATGCTCTATTGTGAGTTTGTGGCCAATTCGCGGCGCAAGATTTGGGCAAAATTCATGAGCTAGTACTTGAGATCATCAGATATCTGCACAAGGGTTTCCAAGGCTACTGGAGGCCGTTCTTACCACTCGCGATTCAACTCTTTTTAAAGAGGAGGAAGCCATAATCACCTCTGGAGTTGTTGCGCTTGGAAATCTCTCCTCACCGACCTCTTATGGTAGATGCTCAGGAAACTAAGTTCACACGAACGTGACTTCAGAAGCCAGTGAAAGTCGTAAAACTGCCTGAATGTGTATGAAACTCTTTAGAGTGATCTCTTGTTTCATGGCTGATAGCAACAAGCTACCAGTACCCGCCAGCTGTACAACTCTCTGCTAGGCATGGAAGTGCTTTAGCCACTGGGACCCAAGCTTGTTCGATGCCCACAAACTCTCGGAGACTGTAATTGCTCAGCCCTGAGGTATGCTATCCTCCATGTGCCATATAGAGAGATGTTGGGGCCCCTTCTATCGGTAATTGCAATTAACCGAACGAAAATGACCGAGGACGAATTCGCCGAAAAGAGCGATGAAAAGAATCCCAGCAACATAGTGGCAGAATTCTATGCAGAAAGGAACTAACCCTGACTTTCAACTGGGCCAGTTCTCTAAATTTGGTTCTGAGGATCCTCGGGTCTGAGGACTCGTCACATGGTGGATAGCCAGCAGTAGCGACTGCTGCAACATTGCTGCAATGCACTCAGCCGCTGTATCTACGTTTGCTTATACACTACGGAAAGCGACAAGGCAGGCTACAGTCTTATGACTTCGAAAGACAGGTAAGATTCTCGTCCAAGATCGTTTGGAACTTTGGCATTATTTCCTCAAACAATGGAGAAAACCGTTCTGCAAGCAGAATATTCTCATGACATTAGTTCGAACAGTTCGAAATGCTCAAAAGTTTCTAAATTTCAATGGGCAACTCCTACTGGCTATAAGCACTAGAGACATAGACCGATAAGGGAGACCGGGGAATTTAACTGCGGTACGATACACGTTAATCCTCTCCGCTCCTGAAGGTCTTGGCTACTCATGCTAAGATGCCAAGGTCTTATAGATTAATTTAAATTTTGCTTGTTGCAGAAGACTCGTCAGCTCCTTTTAACAGAGCCTTAATTAATAGACCTGCTAAGATAGTGAAACTTACTAATTGGGCAGGACATAGCCTTGGCGCCAAGATCTTCTTGCTGTTGTCTCCTTTATTGCACTGGTTTACAGGGCTATGCTTGTAAACTTTAGGTAGGGTGTAAAACTCTACCTATAGCATGAAGAACGGCGCTAACTATAACGGCCCTTCTATACAGCTATATATATATTTATAGAAGAAGCACTATAGAATTATCTAATAACGTGAGTGTATAGCGAGTGACGCAGTCAAGCGAGTGACGCACCCCAACAAACCATTGGGCCTTCTACGTGCAATTACTCAACACCACAACATTATAATGTAGCTAACAAGATATATCCTTAATCGCTAACGTCTACTACATCTTTTTTACACGTGCGCAAGTTGTGCCCTGTCTTACCGCAGCGCTTGCAGTGCCTTTTGCCCTGCTTGCCTGCACCTGTTTGGGCCCTACCCTCACGCGTTTCCCCCTCTACCTGCGCCTTAACGTCGCGTTGGGCTATCAAATCCTCTGCCTGTTCCTTTGAGAGGTCTCCACCCTTCTGAATCTGCTTTCTTTTACGTGATTTGCGCTCAGAAGCAGCCTTGTTCGATGCTTCAAGCTGCAGCACTCGGGCTGCCAATAACGTCTGCCCATGTAGTAGCATTGCAGTGCCTCTCTGCAGCTGATTAACAATCTCCACCATTGGAGTTGGTGATGATCCTTGGTGCTTTTGAATACGATCGCGAAGCAGCGTTGATTGAGACTCTATCTCGTTGGCGTTGGTGGGTGTCTTGGGGTTCCATTGGGCCCCCCCTGGTAGAGGTGGTGTTGGCGCCCGAAGCTTGATATCAAGCTTTGATAGCACCACTAATGGGTTATTAGGCACTAAGCCAGTTGCCTTAAAGCTTGATGTGATGTTTGCCTTTGAGAACGCCTTCTTAAAAACCTTTGCAAACGTTGCAATGAAGGCCTTCTTGTCAATTTGGCTAATGTGGTCTGTTGCTAAGACTCTGATCTCTTTACTATACTCCTGCTTTAAGGGGGCAAAACAGCCTATATTAAGTGGCTGCAGGATGTGCAACGAGTGTGGAGGCATATACAGAGTAATTATCTTGTTCTCCTTGCAAAGATCCTGGAATGTAAGCGACTTGTGGCTTTTGTGGCCGTTAATTATTAGCAGCATATGGCTACCCACCCTCCAGCCCTTAATCTGCTTAATAAAGTGCCTTAACCAGGCTACACCAATATTGTTTGTAGTCCAGCCGTTGTCGCTGACCCTAATGCGCCATTGGGGCCTTAAATCAGGGTACTAGGACGCGTTATGGTTCTTTGCTTTGAAGATAAGGTAGGGCGCGATTGCCCAGCCTATCGCGTTGATCGCAGCAATGAAAGTTACCTACTCATGGTCTCCCTGTTGCAACCTAATAGGCTTAGTACGTCTCTCTGATGCAGTGACTACTTTAACGCAGTTTCTAATGCCTATAGTAAAGCCAGTCTCATCAAAGTTGTAGGTATCTTCATCTAGGATGCTGTACTTGGCCTTAACATTCTGAACCAGGTCAAACTAGGGCCCAATGACCCCTGGATCGCTGCACAAGACTCTCTGGCGATCTCTCTGTTGAGTCATATGCGATTTTAGTCCAGGTTCGCGTTTGACGAAGTTTGAAGCCCATTGTGGGCCAACAGGCTTTGCGCTGCGTGCAGCGCGCAGTTGATTAGCTATATCTTCAACACAATAGAGCGTTGGGGCAAATCCTTGGGAATCCAGCTTCCTAATATACTGCACAAGTGTCCTCTGCTCTGTCCTCTGAAGATTCGCTGATTTAGGGTGGGTATCGCGTGTTGACTGCGTCCCAGCGCGTCGGCGGTGGAGGGTTGCCTCAGAGACCCTGTACACTGTAGCAGCGCGTCGCACGCTTAGCTCTTAAGGTTTCTTAATTGCTTGAAGTGCAAGCTTGATTCTGTCTTCTTTTAGGAGCGATTCCAGGTCAGGTGGTTGGTCCATTGAGGTTTGAAGGTAGGAAGGCCCAATGGTTTGTTGGGGTGCGTCACTCGCTTGACTGCGTCACTCGCTATGCACTCACGTTATTACTATTATATTCTTTATAGCTATTATTACTAGATCTTTATTAGTTATAAAACGCGCAAGCTAGATTATAGCAATTGTCCTAGTGCTAGTTAGGTTCCTTAGTCTTACTATTAGCCTAACATATGCACTATATTATACTATAGTATGCTTAGAGGACTATCTGCCCTAGAAAATAAAAATCTATCTAGGGACCTTTTATCTTATGCTTGCAATCTTTAGCTTTGCCCTTTTTCTACAATTAACTTTCGCGTCTATATAGACATTAAGCTCCTACTGCACACCCTTTAAGATCCTAATCCTTAGCAAGCGCATTTCTATTAGTAGATTTCTAGCATATATATAGATAATTAGAAGCACTCTTGCAACCACTGTAGTCTAGCTGCAACCTATGCTTAACTTCTAGGCTCTATAGACAGACCTGCTAGACTAGACAGGGACCTAGATTTAACTTATAATTATAGGAGTTACTAGTTACTATGCTAATTTCCTAATAGGCCTTTTAATAATTCTAGTCTCTAGAAATAGCTTAGTAGGCTAAGCATTTAGCATATATTATAGTATGTTAATAGCTACGCATAAGTTTGTTTTATATCTATTCGCAGCTACTATAGCAGCTTATAGGGCTACTTATCTAGTAGGTTAAAGAAAGACCCCTATTATGTTTGTAATTAATGCTAACTTAAGAACAGTATTATGCTATAGCTTCTTTTGCTAAAAGCAAAATAAAAGACTATACATTTACTACTAGAAACCTAATAATAACTCTTAAAGAATCTAAGGCGCGTAGCTTCTAGTATATAACAACTATATATAATAGCATTGCTAGCCTTCTTCTTATTATAGTTATAGTATTAATATCCCTGCCCTTTATAAGGTAATAGAACTATAATACGTTCTACTACTTTTATTGTTTTTATAGCACTTCTATCTTTATTAGAGCTAGCATACACGCTAGTATAGACTTTTACCTTATTTTCTCTAGCCTCTTTCTCTATATTATTAATATTAGAATGCGTGTGTTTTTAGGAGAATCTAGCAGTTTATATAAGAAAGTACTAGCAAATATAGAGAATATAGGTGCAGATTAGTATTAGATCTTGTTCCTATCCTAGGATTAAGGAAGCAGAAGCAGCACTACTAAACTTCTTATAGAAAAAGCGCTTACTATAGGCTCCCTACTAAAGTATTACTATATTAACGTCCCTAGCATTAGTAAAATACAGAATCACGCCTTTATAGCTGCAGTACCCAGCACTAATATCTTAGGTCTAGTCTTTCTTTTCTAAAGGTCCCAAGGCAAAAAGCAGAAGAGTCTTAATAAAGAATAGACTTAGAAACTAGGTAATATAGTTCCTAACTATAGGGATAAGGTAGACCTTAAAGTTCGCCTAGAAGGGCTATATCTACCCTATAATATCCACTTCAAGACTGCGTCCCACACTCTATGCATTGTTAGTAGGAGTGGCCTAACTAGCGCATATAGCCTAGCTAGGTAGTAGCTAGAAGAGCGCGCGTCTAGTAGCGACAGTGCATTTACCCTAGTATAGACTATACAAGACAAAGAAGCTTCCACTATCAAGGAATAGCGCTTGCTTAGTAAAATTGCTAAGCAGATGCTAGCATTAGTGCTTATAACTTATATAAGTTCACTAAATAGAAGACTAGACCCAGCAGTGCATATTAGGAATGCCATAGGCTTAAATGATCAGGGTACTTCCTTTGTGAGAGAGAAGGGGGGTGCGGCAGAAGATGCGGTATAGGTGTATGGAGCAGGGCCTGATAGCTTGTTGCGCAGCATAGAAAGTGCGTGCGTTCATGCTAGGGTAGATGTATCACCTTTGAAGGAGATTAACTAGTACATGGCGAAGTGGGAGGTTTAGATTTACAGGTAGCTGTATCTAGATTATTATTAGACTGCGGCGTAATAGTATAGAGATAGTCCTAATTGACATAGAGCTTTCTATATCATCTAGGAAAGACTAGACTTAGCATGTTCCGGACACTTGTCTTCTGTTCCTGAAGGCTTTTGCCACGGAAGGCCATGACAGATCTTCTCTGGAGCTCCAGTGGAACGCCAACAGAGCAATGGAAAGCACGGCGATGATGTGTCCGAACACTATCGTCATGACACACGGGCCCGGCGTGGTGCTTATGCCTTGGGCCGACAACGAGAATGTGACGGCTATTTTGGCCGCACACTACCCAGATGAAGAGTCTGGCAACTCGATTGTAGATGTACTGTGGGGCGTTCAGGAGCCTAGTGGTCGATTGCCTTACACCATTCCTAGAACCGCTTCAGACTATGGTCTGCCCATCGTGGAGCATGTCGATGCGAAGGGCGATCCAAACGCATGGCAAGCAGACTTCACAGAAAGCCAGTTAATCGACTATCGGCATTTCGATGCGAGCGCCATCGATCCAATATACCGCTTTGGCTTTGGGCTCTCGTACACGACATTTGAGATGGACGATGTCCTCAATGTAGAGATCACGGGCGGCTCGTTAACGGCCTACGCAAATGAGTCTATGGGCTTCGCTCCTGGCGGTCTACATGATCTGTGAACCACTGCCGCTGTTGCGAAGGTCAAAATCACGAACTCAGGTCACAGAGCAGGTTTTGCAGTGCCGCAGCTCTACGTTTCTCTGCCTCAGGACACAACCCCTTCGGGTACACCCATGAAGGTGTTAAGGGGATTCAAGAAGGTCAGACTCGATGCAAGCGAGACAAAGCAGGTGGAATTCGAGCTGACGAGGAGGGATATCAGCTACTGGAATGTGGAAGAGACCGCTTGAATCATCCCAACAGGATTGGTGGAATTCAGGGCAGGTTTCAGCTCGCGGGACTTAGAGAACGAAGCGCAGGTCACTCTGAGGATGTAGTCGAGCCGTGATTTGAGCCTCATGCGCCTTTTGACCTGCGTTAGGGATGAAGGCGGTCTTGTGGACTTAATCGAGATGGCCGGATTTGATCTTTTGCTCGCTTGCGCATAGACATAGCAATTACTGCCGTTCATGAATGACACCGGGTTTGCAATTCTATCGATTGAAGATTTGGCGAAATACCCCACGAATTCTGTCTCCACGCTGAATTTCAGATCAAACTGCTAAGACCCAAGTGCAGATCTCTTCAGACTGTATTTTCGTTTCTCACAAGCGTGAACAGGCATGTCAATAGTCTGCAGTAGGCACGAACACTGACTGCAATAGTACAAGGATTTTCCACTGCCCAATTACCCTGCTAATGAATGATAGATGTTATAGCATAGTGCAACCTTCGGTCTTGATTTCGTCGTCTGACGTTACAGTCAAGATGACGACGGGTCCCGGCAAAAGCTACCATGTCTGCGCGCGCAACACCCGAATCCGCGTGACTTTTTACCAGTAAAATAGCGTAAATGTAAGCTCTTTGCAGCTTCAACGTACCTCAACGGGCGTAACCTCTACAAACAGTCAAAGAGTTAGTGGCGTCGCGCGGCTGCGGGCATTGCGTGCACGAACACGGTATGGCGAGATCAACGATTGGCGGCGCGGTCCCATGCAGCGCCGTGTATCTCTCCATCTGCGTCTCGGCGTGGTGCAGGCATACGAGATGGCTCGTGGTGAAAAGAGCCCCAGCAGCCTCCTCGGGCGTGCATGGACTCCCCGTTCCGGCAACCGTTGCCCTGCTTGCTACAGCTGCCGCATTCGCTGGAGCAGCAGGAGAGGAACAACGACGGTGAGTCGTGATGCAGTTGATGCACCTGGGCCTACCTTCGTCGCACTTGGTGTGCCGCGTCTTGCACGCGCTGCAGCCCTTCTTGGACTTTTGATCGGTGCGGCGTCGCTTCGGGAGAGGAGCGACTTGTTGGACGGGCTCTGGCGTCATCTCTGGCCAGACGCACAGCGAGCCGGTGGAAAGCTTTGACGCAGTATACAAGGAGGATTTGGAAAGATGAGATGTACGACAGATACGCTGAAGACGCAGGTGGTATTTGTCGAGTGAGCGAGGTCAGCGTGCGCCCAAACAAAGAATATTAGCACCCGGTGCGCCAGCGCCAAGGCTCTACACGTATAGCATCTCGCCCCACACAGCCCCACGGCTCCTCTCGCCTGGAGTCTATACGCGTATACTTACCCTCTGCGACCATAATCAATAATCGCCGCTAGTCTACACGCGTACCTGCTTCCACAGTGTAAGGGCCTGTGTGCTTTGGCCATGTTTTGTTCCTCCCTAACAAGCACTTTCTGTATAAGCACCAGGGTGGTGGACCCCATTCGTCTTCTCTTTTGCATCCTCAACGACTGCGCTCCTGCTGCGCCTTCAAACCCTCCAACCCCCGACCGCCAAACCTCCAATGGCCGAGCTGAAGCCATACAGAGGCTCTTACTACCTCTGGAACTATGTTCCTTCCACCGTCGCTGCTGCTATCTTTGCAGCCCTCTTCGCTCTGGGCAGCTTCTATATCATCTGGCGCATGTTTAGGACTCGCGCCTGGTTCTGTATTCCCTTCGCTCTTGGTGGGCTGTGTATGTCCACGCGTTGGCACATCAAGTTGGACTGCCGCTGACGTCAAGCCACAGTCGAGCTTGTCGGTTACTGCGCTCGAGCCGCAGCCAGAGACAAAACCGATCAGCTGACGCCATTCATCATCCAAAATATCCTCATCCTCGTCGCGCCGGCGCTATTCGCGGCGTCTGTGTACATGGTGCTCGGACGTCTCATCCGCTCCCTCGACGCCGAGTCTCACTCCGTCGTGCCTGTTAAATGGCTCACAAAGATCTTCGTTTTCGGAGACGTCGTCTCGTTCATCGTTCAGGCCAGCGGCGGAGGGATCATGAGCACTGGCAACAGCATAAAGACAGGAGAGAACATCATTCTGGGAGGTCTTTTCGTCCAGATCATCATATTCGCACTGTTTGCGGTGACCGCAGCCATCTTCCACGCACGTCTGGACCGCCGACCCACGGAAGCGTCTCTGGAAAGATCGTCTACCTGGAGGAGCACCATGATGATGCTGTACGTGGTTAGCGTGCTTATTATGGTGCGGTCCATCTTCCGCGTTGTGGAGTATATCATGGGTCATGATGGCTATCCTCTGAGGAACGAGTGGACATTGTACGTGTTCGATGCATTGCTGATGTTCGGGGTGGTTGTAGTGTTTGCATGGAGGTTCCCCGGGGGAAGGGTACCCAGCAAGTCCAAGGGTCGCGATACTGGAGAACCTTCGGTGGAATTGCAGGGAAGCGTCAGCGACTTGACCCAGCTGAAATGAGAACATTTTGGAAGGCTGCAGCTCGCGCTGCCAAAAGTGTAGATCCTGGAGTGCTGTAAGTTGCTACACTCTAGGCCAAGGAGACCCTGGACTTAATAGAGCAGCAGCGCCTGGCAGAAGTAGACGCTCGCATTCTCAGAGACGCGAGTTTGACTGCTCACAAGCAATTAGCCAATCAGCACAAGGAGCCATTGTTACTACACGTCGATCCTCACTTAGAGTGCAATGGTGCCGAAACATTACTGGTATGCCAACAACGCAGGTTTGCCCTTCTCGTACCCATAAGCATCTGCTCGCTTCTAGGCAAATTTTGGTGCAGCGCGCGTCTCTGGTGTTCCTCGCACAATCTCGTGGTTAGTGGTGTTCTCTTGGTTGGTGGTCCCTTACATGTCAACATGCTCGGAAGTCTGCGATTGCAACGTCCAACAGTGCAAATTACTCGCGGAGCCCCTTCCCTTGGACCCTCTTCTGAGCCCCCTTCGAGCTAGCAGTGGCCGCAACAGCGGAAGACAGGCACACGTTGTCCCCATGTTAGCCTCGACCAAATTCCACGTTGCTGCTGATGAATTGTTATATGTTGGGAACGATGATGACACTATCGATCAAGACTGATGCACGCTGTGGCATTAGCATTTTGTTCTTGATTTGGGCGAAGGACGGGAAAGCTTACTGTTCAAAGACGCGTTCACCAATCATACTGCGAGTTTACCCAGACATCGCGCAGGTCCGCGTCCAAAACGCTCGTGGTGACAGGCAGATGAGTATGCTGCAAAGTACTGTGCACAACCTATAGATCATTGTAGCAGCAAGCACGAGCAAGCAAGCGACCTCAAGTCGCCTGGTCGGAAAGATTCGCAGGCATTTGACAATGATCGAGCACTTTGTCAATCCGAGAGAAAGATCATACACAGTCAAGGAAGCGTAGAATACCTAAAGTTCTCCATTAGCCGTAGGGGTAAGATCTTTGATCGGCTGCGCATCACCTTCAAAGAGCTCTCGCGCTCTCCTGCCGAAAGCTCGTGTCCATGCTTGCCCATTCCCCATCTTACTTGTACGAGGCGTAAGTCTGGCAAGTACGAGCAAGGATGGATTGGTATGACTCACGCAAGCCGATGCAGATTGTCAGACCAAGGGAGCAAAGCTGCAGGCTCCATTCGACTCAGCACCACAGAGATCTGCGGAACTCACTGCTGCCAAAGCCATCAGATGATCCTCGCAGGCACTTTGCAGCGTAAACGAACAAGCGAGCGTATACCGAGTCAACAATCATAAGTTTTAGTCCATGTATCGCTCAACAGTGCACAATCGACGCTACGCACAACGTAAACTTAGAGCGGCCGCGGCGATGATAGTGAATGCAGCAGAGACCGCGACAGCTTGATCCCCCCGAGCATTTTCCATGGTTGTTTGGTCCATGATGGACGATGCTGTGTGATTTTTAATGGCATCAGGATTTTTTTGATCTTGCAAATATATTCATGTGAGCTGGAGTTGGGAATTCCAATGACAGACTGCGCAGGTCCAACTGTGTTTTGGATAGCTTCTGGCTCTTCCGCTTCCGGTATAGCTCCTTCCGCAGGCTATCAATTTCGGCCCGAAGGGACTCAACTTGGGATGATAGGTGGTGGATAATCTGGTCCAGCTTGCACGCACCTGAACTGCGACGATCCTTCACCACTGCTTCAATTGCAGTGCAAGCTTTAGGCCGCCTCTCTGCATATCAAGCCGTGTAACCAGAGGAGACAGAAACTGGATTGTCAGGAGTTGCGTGGCAGAATCTATCAAGGAGAACGTCGGGTTTGACTAGGGATATGCTGGTGGCTGTCGACATTTTGAATATGAGAACTCCTCTGATCGTAGCAATTCAAGGAGGCCCGCATGAGGCAAAAACTCCGCAATCTAACAGTGGAGCAAGGCATTTGGGGACGCCTGGAGATGGTTGTCGCACTCGCAGTAAAAGTTGGAAGCGAGAGGTTCGAGGCATACTACATCTGACGGCTGCAGCGTCTTAGTACTGTGGAGGGGTAATACTGCTAGTATAGTCTGTCTCTGGTGACAGTTGTTTGATCAAGTCCTGCGTCAGGTGACTGGATCGGCCATCTACGATCGAGAAGCAGTACTTCTACCGCGCTTTTGGCTTCGTATAATGGTCGAACACCTTTTCAAGCTAGACCAATCCTATCTAATTGCTCGCCCAATTTAGGGGAAGAAGTAACGTGAATAGGATGCTTTTCTGCCTGCGCCGCCCGGCGGCTCTGGACGGTAGATGGTTTTGACGCAAAGATCCTTGACAGCCACGGCGCTCACCATGGAACCAAAATCGAAGCGTACTAAAGGTGGTTGAAGGCGCATTTGTTCTAGAGCAACGTCATTTATTGCGTGCTGAACTGCGGCTGGAATTTCTGCATCTACACCAGGCCGTGTAGGTAGAATGATTCGCGAACCGGATCAGATGAGTTCTTAGTTGTATGTTCTCCATTCGAGAACACCACCTTTAATCCTATTTTGTGATCTCATGGCTTGAAAAGCAGAATTACCAGAGTGGGAGGGGGTCGTTTAGCCATTTGCATCAAATCAAAGCTTTAGGCAAGACGAAGGAACTCATTTCCACTTACTACCATTCTTTTCAGTCCTTCGTGTGCGTCTAGCTCTTTTCTATGCATAGTGGAAATAGAAAGACTTTATTTTCCGTACTCAAACATTAAGGTCATTAAATAAATTTCCACCCTAGGGTCACATATATCGTAGATTAAATAGTTATAAGAAGCACATAGTTATTAACCCCGCTGCTGTTAGATAAGCCTGGATCGGAAGATCTAAGTACTTTTAATCAAGATTTCTAACATAAGAAGTTATAGGAAATCTATGTTAGACTGCATAACTTAAACAATGCGCCAATAAGACATAGTAAGTTTCTGTACTCTTTCTACTATAATTATTTTATACTATAGGCAAGATACTCCTAAGTATTTAAGTAAGTTTCTATCTTATAACGTACCTTATAGGCAAGTAAGCTAATAGGCAAGTAAGCTACTTTTGCTAAGCCCCTACTAAAGTACCCTTCTTATACTAATACTTTAATAATAACCTATTATTAATGTGTTAAAGAAGGCTTAGGTATAGCTTGTACTTTAAGCTCTTAAATAAGATATAAATCTCTTATAGTAACGCGCTATAGCTATATATAAGGTGCTTTAAAGCATACTAAGCTATTAATATACTAGACAACCTTTATAAGATAATATTATACCTAACTTATAGGACTTAGATAATAATAAGAAGTAGGTAATTATTAAGCATATACTTAAGCTAGATAGGCAAGGATTTAGCCTCTAGCTAGTAGATATAGCTGCTATAGCTAATTCTCTACGTGCTAAGTATAATCTAGGCCTTATTAGCATAAACTAGCCTAGTATATTTATTAAGTATTAGCTAGAGCTTAAAGTAAAGTTTAATTGCGAATATAACTATAAGCAAGCCCTCTATAAGGATTTAGAGGTTATATAGGGCTAGTTTAGCCTAGTAGCTAATTTTAAAGCTAAGTATAGCATCTAGAATAATAATATATATAACTTTAATAAGATAGGCTTTATAATAGGCTAGATCTCTTAAAAAGTAGTTATTATAGCTTTAAAGAAATAAAGAAGGCTAAAGGTAGTTTAGCAAGGCAACTAGAAGTAAGTAATAGTTATATAAGGTATTAATATAAAAGAATAGGCTATTCTACTCTTTATTATCTTTAAAGCGTGCTACTACCTTTCTAGCTAGTATAAGAAGAAAGATCTGCCCTAGAACTAGGTTATTAGAGTCTCTAGTAATAGCTAGACTACTAATAAGCTTAGTCTTAAGTAGTTAAAGTACTTTAATAAGTATATAAAGAAGTATACTATTAGTATCTACTAACTACTAGTTATTAATAGCTATAAGAGCTATAACTTACTCTAATTCTAGTAATACTATAAGAATAATAAGAATATTACTATATATATACCTCTTTACTTATTATACCTCTTATAGCTACTTAATATAGGCTATTTTACCTCTTTAAAGATAGTATATAGGTACTAAGCTAAAATACTTATATATAACTAAATTATCTACCTTATAAAGGCTAAGTTTCTACTATACTTTAAAGTAGCCTATAATATAGTATTTACTTCTAGTAATATTTAAGAAGAGTTTTAAAGTACTAGATTAGTCTCTTTTAACCTAGAATAGGTTATATTAGCTCTTAATATAAAGCTTTAGACTCTAGTACTACTACTTTCTAGTAATAATATACTCTAGTACTTATAAACCTCTAGTAATACTTTAGAGTTTAGATTATAATTAATACTTATAAAGTTAAAGATTTAAAGGCCTATAGATAGCTCTCTTATATTTATAGTTAAGGTATTTAAGAAGATATTAAAGAAGGCTATAATTAATATGTATAAGCTAGTTTTAGCTTTATAGAAAATTAGGGAGCGTTAAGTAGCTAATAAAGCTACTATATAATAAAAATTATATAAAAGAAAGTAGGTTTAGAAGAAAAAGATACTAATAGTTAAAGATAGATAGTAACTAACTAGTAGCTCTAAAGAGGTTTATAGCGCATAGTAATAGAAAGAAGGTAAAGAAGTAGGTATATACTTAAAAGGGTAAGCCTACTTAAAGGTGCTATAGAAGGTATAACTAGACTAGTTATAACGTATAAGTATATAAGATTAATATAGAAGAGGTCTCTAAATAATATTCTATACTATAGCCTACTATAGAGTACTAAAGTATAGTATTATAAGCTATAATAAGTTAGGTTTTAGTAAGGGCTTAGTAAAAGTAGCTTACTTACCTATTAGCTTGCTTACCTATAAGGTATATTAGTAGTATAATTAATATATAGTTTAGAGTCTAGAAACTTTATAAATACTAGCTACTATACCTATTTATAGAGATCTAGCTTTACTTCTAGTAGATAAAAAAATTCTATAAGAGATAAATCTAAGTTAAGAGAGATATCTAGTATAAAAGCAATAGCTACTATTAATATATCTAGCTCTAAATAAAGTTTTACTATCTCTTTAATTATATTAGTTATTTAATAGTTTTTATCTAAGATTAAGTCTATTAACTAACTTACTCTCTAATTAGATACGCTCTATAAGGCTTATATATCTTAATATATTTAGATAAGTAGAGGTATATTTTACTTATTATTTCAATAGTACCTATTCTTTAGAAGAGATTAATAAGGCTAGACTATCTTTAGAGTATTATATTAAAGTTTATCTTTAGGCTACTAGTAGGTTTAACTTCTATCTACTAGTTTAAACTAGTAGAGAGTAATAAAGGCTATAGTAGTATAGATAGCACTATAATAGCAAGTAGAGATTAAATTATACAAGCGCTATAATAGGATAATAGATATACTTTTAGTAAGGTAGAAGGAACTTATATATACTATTCTACTTAAACTTAAATTTGTTATAGAAAGTTAAGATAATACCTCTAATATATATAGGAGAGATAGAGAATAGTAGTATATTCTAGATATTAGGGTTATACTTAGGCATATAGGTAAATAGGTAGTATATATTATATAAGAACTTCTACTAGCTAATTTAGAAACTATAGCAGAAATTAGCAATAAAGGCGCTAATTAAGGTATTAATAATAAAGTTTCTAGATATACTATAGTAGCTAGTATTATATGCTATAAATATAATTTGTTGCTAGACTAGGTTAGTAGGTATATAGAATAGTAGGCAGATAAACTTACCTAGAACAAGCTAAGAAAAAGCACAGAAGTTAAATACTACTAGCTATAAAGCAAGTATGCAAAAGCGCAGAAAATTATAGTATATTAAATTAACTTATACCTATATGCTGCGTAGTTGCGCTTATATAGTTCTTCTGCCTTAATCTGCTTGTGCAGTTTATAGTAGGTTACAAGAATCTGATGCTGTGTTTCTGGGTCGATGGAAGGGTTCTCCCTCAAGCCGTCGATTATCTCCTGCTCTTCCAACTCAGCAGCATACTGCAGTCGGTGGGATTTCTTGTCAAAGGCAGCAGGAATCGAGGCCTTGGACCGTGGCAGAGATTGCTTTTCGGGATCTGGTGTTCGTGAGCGGCAGATGTTGGTGCAGCCATCGATAGGCTTCAGCTTCCTGCTAATCGAAGCAGCCACCTAGAAACTAGTGTTAGCGTTGTCTTAACCAACATGACACCTGGAACCATGTTCGCGGAGCGTAGATTCATAGAGAGACTAACAGAGCTTGGGTCGACGCTCTTTCTTAACCATCTATCGTGCCTGGACTCGAGGTCTTCCTTCTCATTGAGCTCTATTCCAGCGCGGGGCTTTACGGCGCGGATAGGGGGTTCAAGATTCAACCATGGCTGTTAAATGCGGCCAATGCGGTATCGCTTCATCATGAGAAGGGCTTTGTTGGAAAGGTAACTGCAGCACTTTGGGTCAGTTCCATGTCCCTACGTCCAAAGATACAGCTCTCAGCTGCAAAACTTGAGAGGGTGCGCATACATGTTGATCTCGTCGGTAGCGTCTCTGCCAAGCATGTGCAAGATAGCCAGACGGCGACCAGGGTGGTTGTCGATTCACTGGGAAATGTTCAGGGCATACCCCTCATGGAGAACGACGGGCTCGCCTTGCGCAATCCATTCCTCGACCCTTTATGCGAAAATCATGTTTTGCTGCGACATGACGAAAAATTGAGCAGTGAAGGAAGCTGGAAGGAACAGACAAACCCGCGGCACAAGGGCGTATATGTGCCACCATAGTGGCTTGGTGGCCCCTTAGTCTTGCTTTCGCTCCAGAGATTGCGCCTATGCACGGTTCGGATCGCCGAAACTCGAAGGACGGAGCTGGTTGCGAGCGGCACAGGGCTGAGTATCTCATTGTGGAGTTTGAGCAAACGCCCATATTCCAATCAGGGCCGCTCAGGGTACAGCAGCCCTTTCCAGTTGTGGCTAGCGCGGCGTTGAGCTCTCCACGTAACGCGTATCTCTCTTTCTGTCACGGAGTCCACATACGAGATTGACTCGGTCTTTCTCCTTACGACGCTGTATGCGACTTGCACTATGCTTCGCCTGACTCTAGCTCCTCTGCCAAACACCGTAGGACCCAGTTCCAGGGTTTTCGCCCGGCTCCAAGGCCTTGACGGATCGAGAAAACCGGGGCACGCCCTGGACACAAACTCAATACGCCTTCTGGAAGCGTGCAGTGGCTTGTAGGCTCTTACCCCTGCCCCACGCAAAATCAACTAACAGTGAAGATGCTCTATTTCAATTGCCATTATAAGAGAAACAGTTTTATTCTTCTTGAATAGGTGTGTAGTGTTTTATCCTTCTGTCTCATTTATAAAGTGATCGCCTCAGGTGTTAGCTGCCACGCACGCGCATGCTGTGGGACGTTCAAACAAGTGCGCCTGCGCAGAGTGCTTGATCAAGCACTCCTGCATTCTGCAATAATACATTGATTTTGACCCGCGACGAATGGATCCAAGCCTGCATCAAGTTGATGAGGGTAGAACGTAATCGACCCGTGATTTTACTGCGACGGCCAACAACGCTACGCATACGAGGTCTTGAGTACGGCCAATATACAGCACGGCAATTTGAGGATTACAAACACACGACAAGCATGTCCTTTCCAGACCCATAATGTAAATATCCGTAGGTAGGAGCCGGACAAGGATAGCCCCTGGAAACAAATGACTCGTTCGCGAATGAGGGGGGCGGTGCAGACTCACGTCTACACGGCGACGGCTGTCTGCCACAACCATCCCTCCGGGCATAGCTGTGAAGTTGCGGCTGAAACTGAGCAGGAATCTATAAACTGAACGATTGAATAGATACCGCATGACTGAGGAGGTCGAAAAGCTCCTTCAAGCCCGCCCCACTTTGCAACCTCTGTCTACTTAGTGGATGATGCATTCACAGGGCCAAAACTATTCTGAACAAGTGGCTCGTTCCCTCACAATGGGACCATCTAATTAGGCTATCTTATGCACAGTGAGTTACTCACAGAGTTTCAACTAATAATGAGGATGCAAAGACATAGGCCCATTTTGAGTTAAGGGACTCAAGTCCACCCGTGAAAAAGGCGATCCCCGCACATGTTGCTATGTCGTAGATATGTCTATTCCTGGCAGAGACAGGCTGAGCTGCTTAGCGCTTTATAGATCGAAACTCTCTTCTTTAACATTATAAGCAAGGGGCTTCTGTCCGATGCCTAGCTTATCAAGCCCTGCCAACCTGTAGGCCCACAGTCCTCCAGAAATAGCAAGTCCGTTGACCCACAGGCGCCACGGCGCAACCTTCTTTCGTATCAAGCCGTTCTGCTCAGTCTTCGCGAGCATTTGCTTGGTTCTTTCCTTACATTTCTGCTTGTATGCCTCTAATGCGTCTTTAACAGAGTTATAGCTGCTGTTTAGCAGCTTTAAAAAGAGGAACACATCCTTAAGCGCCATTAAGACGCCTTAGCTGGCATGTGGCGGCATAGCGTGCGCGGCATCGCCAATGATGAGGCAGCAACCCCCATACCATGGTCTCCTAGTTGGCACTTTGTGAATGGGGTAGAGCCTTATTGTTTTGGTATTGTCTACAATGTCGCGCAGCATGGCTGACCAATTGGTCTCTGCACCGCCAAGGGTGTTACTCAAGGTGGACTTCAGTGCTGCAACCTCGGCCTCGCCACGCTCTTCCTAGCCACCGCGACCATCGCAACCATCGCGCGACGCAGGCAAGGGGATTTCCTTGGAGAAGAACTAGTACAGGTTGTCACGAGCTGGTGTTGTAGGCGTCACCGCAAAGAGCCTATCTGAGGTGAAGGGTTGCATGCAGACCGTCCATCGAAGAGGCAGCGGGATGAAGCGACAATGTTGGTAAGAGCGCAGATACGTTCGCCACACCAAAATACTCTGGCTTGCAGTCCGGATCGACATAGAGCTTGCGAACAGATGAGTGGATGCCAAGCGCAGCCGAGAAGGAAGTACGCCGTATCGGTTGTACCATCAGTGAACGACACGGCGAAGCGCTCCCACGGAGTTGCAGACGTCAACCCACGGATGAGGTAGTGGCCCCGTCCAAGATCACATTGGGCTTCCGCCGATACGAGAATACGACGCCGAGTACTTGCATGACTTGGGCAAGTCAGACGCCCAAGAATGAGCATCGTCCAAGCAGGTGGATCCAATATGAAACGGCATGGCTATTCATTAACCCCAGTCATATCTCATAGAGGCAATTTGATCCAAAAAGGCTATATTCATACACAAATCTCAGTGCAGCTAGTGCGTTGTACAACTGATAGCACTAGGTAGCCGCACACACAAGTCTTCACAAAACCATAACAGAGGCATGCAGTATCGTTTCGCGAGACCAGCTGACAAGGGCGACAGTAGCCGCCTGCGGGCTGTGCTGATTGCTCAGCTACAACGAGTCGGGAGCTCTGGTAAGCTGCACGAAACGATCGACTTCCTCACCGTTGGTTTCTTCACGTCAAGGTTTGCAACACACCTACAACGCTTTTCCGAAAGACTTGGACGCAGGCCAGATTTTGTTTTCAAGATAGGCTTCGAGGCAGACATCGAATCGCGCTCAGCTGCGGCAGCAGCATGCGATTCTACTGTGGCGGCTTTGGCTCGGAACACGCACGCAGAGGGTGCACTGAGCCAGAGCAGGCTGTCAGTGTGGCCTCAAGGGTTTGTCGTGTCTGTATCGCCCGCTGCTTCGGGGGGCTACGACATCTCTCGAATGGCGCGGAAGGTCGCTCGTTGGAAACGTCGAAACAATGCGGTGAGTAGACTCGGCACCGCGGTACTGGATGACCTGACGGTTGACAGAATGGGATAATCTTCGAACTTGTGCTATACAAGACGGGCAGTGTCGCTGCTTTGCTGGACAATGACGGGCTATACTTGGTGGACGATGAGAAGAGAAGCGTATCAAGGCTCTGTTGGCAGAACGATCATAGTACAGCTGTGAGTGATGCAAGTCAGCATGAAAACCGAGATACCTGGATGTACACGGTCCTCTTCACAGGTACTTGGATTGCGTACGAAGAAGGCTGGCTTTGTGGCAAACCGTAACCCACTGTTGTTGAGAAGTCCACCAAGCACGCTTGCTGAGGCCTCCTGGGAAACATTCCCCTTGAAAGTCGTGTAAAGCCTTTTTAAAGCCCCCCTTGGCGCTGCAGCCGCTAGAGCCTGGCGTTCAGCGTAACAATTTCTTGCGGCCATCGCAGAAACGAACTCCATGGCACGCCCAGACAAGCGCTCACGTACGCTACCAAGCGAAGCCCAGTATCGCCGACGAACCAGACCTTTCTGTGCCGGTGTAGCAGTCTTCCGTAGAAACAAAGGATGACCAGCGCTTCAGGCGTCCGAGTGCTCAGCAAATCCATAAAAGCTGACGACAGCAAGGATGGCCAAGCGAAGACAGCGCGCGTTTCGTCCGTGGGTTCTATGGCTGCGGACTCAAGCTTGAAGCTCCACTGTAGGGATGCGATTGCCTCCCGACATGCCCGCATCGAATCGCTGCTGAGCTGCGCGGTTTCCATCATAGCCAGAAGCGGTTTGCACTCAATTGACGGGTCTAGACACATTTCGGCGGATATACTCTGGGAGAAGCCGAAAGTGACAAAGCTTCGACTGAAGAATTGCTCCAGCAGAGCGGTCTCGTTGAGATCGTTTTTCAACGTATTGATCTCATGCAGTCGGGCTTGCTTGGCATTTCTCGCTGCCGTAACGCTGGGCTGCAGTTTCGGACACCCTCTGCACAGGAGGCTGGAGAGTTGATCTGCGTCTGACTGGGACATGGTGAGGTTAAGATTACTTTGCAGAGAGCTGGCTATTGGGGCAGCAGATGATGTTTCCAGGTGCCTCAATTTATAGAAGAGTGATTCGAGGGTCCCAGTGTTCATAGACACAGCGGAGGCGAGCTGCAGCCATGCGACGCTCGACGTATTCCCCATACGTCCACGAGCGCGCACGCCATTCCTGGCTATGCGCGTGAAGCCGGAGGTGCAATCGCAAGCTCGAGCCACTGCTCGTCCGAGCGCCCAGAGGCAGTACGCGTATCCCAAGGAGCCTCTCAGGTTAGCCATAGGAACTGGTTTACGAGAATACGATCTGCCGGTGATTGCCGACTAACACGATGGCCCTGCGTAAACGACCGCAAGGATGACGCTAGCATCACTTGTCGCACAAACCTTGCTTTGCTTTGGTTCTAATTAGGCTCCTATGCTCGCATCAAAGCCGTGCGTCGGACCAGGGCGGAGAATCGCCGTGCGCTATCTGTACCGCATCTCTGCTTGTGCACATAAAAACAAGAAAGCATGCGATCGAAAGCGACAATAAAGGCCCGACGAGCTGAAGCAATTCAAGGGTGCTGCGCAGGCGCACAGTGGTGTCAATGTACCCGTTACCCACCGCCATCGTCGCCACCGCCGCTGCTTTGTTTCCGTTTGTGTCGAGCATGACATCCTCTTCATCGGAAGGGAATCGACCATTTCTGCCGTAGTAATCGAGCAGATCGTCTTTCTCCCGCCATCGCGCGAGCAACCAATCGCTGAAAGCTTTGCTGTCTCCAGTGGGGATGTCTTCTACAGCAAAGCGCCGCCAGTGCATGTGAACGCAGCGTGGTGGTTGGCCGCTGAGGTAGGTCGATCGCAGCGTGAAAACGTCTTCGCCGTAGTGTCCTTGACTGCATCTCGTTAGCCGACATTCCGCGAAAGCTACCAACTGGCTAGTCACTTACGGAACGCCTTCATACGCGACCGTACAGTCGTACATGTAGTCTATCGTACTTCGTAATTCCGAAAGGCAGAATCGGAGGCCGGTACTGCGAGGCAACAAAGTGTGCCGCAGATCTGTGATGTTGTTTCTATTGGCCCACCTTGTGCTGGATGACCTTGCGCCTGCGCACAAGTTCGTCCCTTCTGGAAATATGAGCAACCACACAGGACGCAGGGCCTGTGTTCCCGACATCCATCTACAGCTGACGCCGTTGAGCTGGCGCAGTCGATGCTGGAACTTCGCCTTATCTTTTTTCCAATCTCTCGTAAGGAAGATGAAGCCGTACAGCATCATGCCTGTGCCAAGCACAGGGATGTACTTGATCGAATCTTTCAGAACAATGCAAAGTGTGCCGTGCCTGGAGGAGCTGTAGGCAGCCCACCACAAGTACGTCCAGTCCGTGTATAGCTGGCTGTTGTCAGGAAGGCTCACCCTTTCTCTTCGCGAGAGTTGAACTCACTTGATGGTTGGCGATCAGGACGATTCGTTTTGGAAAGTCGCACTGCAAAGTGCCGTCTTCTCTTTGTCGCAGCTGCCCTCTGACACTTCGGTCGCCGCTGACTCGTACTTTGACAGGCGCCCACCAGTGCGTGATACTCGTTATCGTCAAGCCGAACTGTTGCTTCGCGACAGCGATCCACGCATAGTACCACTCCCGACAACCGAAGTACAGCGGCGTCGCTACCAACTGGGTCAACCCAATACTATGCAGAGCGTCAGCAGCCGTTCGCCTAGGGTCTCGCTGATCAGCCTACGATACGCAGCACGCAGAAAGGTACAGGAACAATGCTAGCGCTTGCAGCACGCGCAACACAGTGGTGTTACAGCACACCCGCCTCTCTGGACCGTCGTGCTGGCGGTCCTCCTTGATAGTACTAGACGACTGCATGTGTCACTGTCGAAGGCTTTCCAAGTTGATCGAGATTTGCGTTCACAATGAGGTACAAAAGGAACGGAGATATGAGAAGTTGGTGTGGATAGCCAGTCCATAGCATAAGGTCAATAATTTATGGACCAAGGTGCGGAACGACCTTTCTATGGCTTCCTCAACTACCCCTGATGGGGTCCACATCTGCCTTTCTCGTGTTCCATCGTAGGCAGCCCACGTTTAGTGCCAGAATGCTGCTATGTTCAGTGGCGGGTAATTGCACGCAGCACTCTTACAGTTTTCACTAAGGCTAGAGCAGGCACAGCAGCAAAAACAATAGTCGAAAAAGTAAAAGGGCAACCAAATCTCTACCAGTCCCAGTTGGAGATACAAAAAGTGCCCACAGTATACAGCAGCTTCGAAGTAGACTTATCTATAATACTAGCCGCGGGAATGGCGAGTGAAGTTGGAACATGCAAGAAGGCGTATGCGCAGGTCAGTTGGACACGAGAAAGCACAGCACACGTAGGAATGAGCATATCAACAGAAACACGCTCAATAGCTAAGTCGAGAAGCATATTTGATTGGTGTACTGTAGCACTTACCAGATTGGCCGACACTGAAACGTTAAGAAGGGTGCGCCATATCGCAGCGTAAGTGTCCTTGAAGGGCTGAAGCGTGTGGAACACTTAGAGTACCGATAAGCCAGCAAAGATTTCATCTAGGTCCCGTTCGGGGCACCGCGGTACGAGCTCGAGCAAGTCTGCGTACACACCGTACGTGCAAGCCCGCAGTAGCTCAGCGCATGATGCCACGGCCGTGATCATGGCTGCAGTCTCGCCCATTTGGTTCGGTCGCGGTACCAAGCGATTAGATCTGAAACGTGCCACACACGGCCACACCAGGCAACTGCATGACGCTATGTGGCCAAGGTCGTGGCGCGGTTCACGCCGAATACGTCGTATGGCGTGTTCTCTGACCAACTACAGCTAGAGCTGTCGTTGTCCAGGGTTCAACGCACTCTAGCCTGTTACCCTTTAAGACATTCGCTTTTGCCTCTTGACGCAGGCTAAATTACCAACCACTCTCCCGGTCTCTTAAGCCCGAATCCGCCATGGGCCATCCAGAACACGAGGATCTGAGTAGACCGGCGGCGTCGGAGTGTTCGGATGGCAGCGCCGAGCGTGACGCCCCACCCCCGCAGTACGTCTTGCAAGACTCGCTGTCCTCGATGCCTAGCACAGGTGACACCGGTGTCAATAGTAGGTTCACATTATAGAGAAGATCGAGGTTGCCCGTTGCTAATAGATAAACTACTAATAAGCTTAGTTTTAAACAGTTAAAGCACTTTTACATACATATAAAGGAGTGCACTATAATTAAGTACACACTACCTACTAGTTATTAATAGCTATAAAACCTATAACTTGCTTTAGCTCTAGTAATACTATAAAAATAATAAGATTATTACTATATATATACTTCTATACTTATTATATCCTTTATAGCTACTAAATATAAGTTATTCTATCTTTATAAAGTAGATATATAAGCACTAAGCTAAAATACTTATATATAACTATTAGTACTATAATTAGAATAGCTTATTAAAAAAACTATACTTTTTATAGCTAAGCTATATAAAGTAATATAAATATAAAAGAATAAAGCTTTATAAATACTATTTAGTAGTAATTAGTTTATAATTTATAATATTATTCTTTACTATAGCTAAACAACTTATTATTTTTTATACTATACTCTTTGCTTTTACTTTTCTATAGTATAAAACTTAATAATAACTAGATTACTTACTTTATAAAAACTAAGTTTTTTTATACTTTAAAGTTACTTATAGAGTAGTAACGTGCCTTACTATATCTATGCACCTAATATGTAGATTTAACTAATATATAGTATAACTAAATAACTTACCTATTTTAATATCTAATAACTCTACTACTATACCTAGAATTAATAATACTATTATAGAGATTTATAATTTAAAGCCTAGTAATAAACTTATATATACTTAAATTATAAAAAATATAGTATTAATTACTTTATATTATTATATATTTATTAATATAATTAGGTTCTCTATATAATTACTAATAAGTAGTAGTAAAAGCTTACTCTATAATAAGAATTAGACTTTATAAAGTATATAAATATACTTACTATATATTATATAATACCTTTATAGACTATAGTAGGTAATTTTACCTTAAAGGTAGTATAGAATTCTATGTCTAATAGCTAGGTTATATACTTTCTTAACTATTACTATAACTAGCTTACCTATTAATAGATAATAGGTATAGAGTCTAATTACTATAATACTAAGTCTTAATATAAGTATAAGCTATATTTTAACCTAATATAGTAGAAGATTACTAAGTATAATATTAAACCTATATATATATATAATATAGATAAAAAAAGCTTTACTATTAAAGTACTAGAGAGAATAAAGTATATCTTTAGTAGATATTAATATAAGAAGAAGAAAGTTTAGTAAGCTTATTAAGATAGCTTATAAGAGTAAGTAAGCTTACTAGCTTCTATCTATATAGATAGAACTACTCTACCTTCTAGTATTATATTTATATTAAAAAACTCTATAATCTAGAGTTATTATATAGCTAATATTAAGGTAGGAATATACTAAATTTATATAGCTTCTTTACTTTCTAGCTAGATAAATAATAATATTAGATTAGCCTAGCTTAAGTAGGTATTTAATTATTATACTAAAGTAAAGGTATAAAGAAGCTATAGGCTTCTTATAGTAGATAGCTATAATAGTTACCTAATATAGAATTTTATTAACTACTATAATTAGAATTAGATTATACTAGCTATATTACTACTTTATAGTACCTAGACTCTATAGCTATTAGATATAGTCTACTTTAAGCCTCTCTTCTCTATCTATACTACTAAGCTAGATAACTACCTCTAGAAGACTTAAGGTCTATTGCTATTAGAGAAAGCTTACTTTTTTAGCCTATTCTAGCCTATCTACCTAAGATAATATGCAAGAGTAGGGGTAACTTATGCTAAGAGTAGACTAATACTAAGGTTTCTCTACTCTAAAAAGTAAGTTAATAGGCCTAACTTATTTAGGTAATTTATTATTAATATTATCTTATTATATAAATTTTATTATTATAAGTGCTTTCTTTATCTCTTAGCTATATTTATATATAGTTTTATACTCTTCTAAGTACTATTATATGCTATTAGGGTTAAGGTTAAGGTTTAATAGTAGAGTTAGGATATAGAGTTCTACTAGTACGCATAGCTATTTGCAGTAGAAGCTAGTTAAATAATAATAGTAGATAGTATATCTACCTATTAAATACTACTATTATATAATATAATTAAAGATATAATCTACTATCTAGCTATATATGCTGTTATTATCTATAAGTAATATACTATAGTAGTATAGAATCTTAATATATATCTATATAATTATTATACTACGCTAAAGAAACTATATAAAGAGATTATAGAGAGCTACTAGGGCAAAGTAGTCTTATATCTAAAAGAAGTTATAATGCCTAGTCTACTAGGTCTGCTAATTAAGGAGCTTAGAGAGCTACTTAATAGCTTTTAGTATAGAGAGGAGGACTATAGCTTTATTATAATTAATATTAATATAGTGCGCATATACTATAAGAAAAAGCATAAGCTACTATAGAGAGGTAATAATAATATATTATATTAGAGAGTTAAGGCATAGATATTTTTCTAGGCTAGTAGAGTATAGCGCTACTTTGTTATAAATGCAGGAGATAGCAGCATAGAAGATAGCAATAGTGCACTATCTGCCCTCTATAATATAGTAGAAAATGTTAAAAGAGAGATAGCTAATTAGGAGGTAGTATAAAAAGAAGAAGAGTAGAGAATATAGGTTATAGATATAGCTATAGCAAAGATAGATTAGATAGGCTAGTTTAAGTAGATAGGCTAGCTAGAGCACTTTATAGGCTATAATCTAGTATATCTTATATATTAGGCCTAACTACCTAATTAAGGTAAGGTAAAGCTATAGCTAGCTACTATACTAGTTAAGGGGCTTATAGAGAGAAGCATATAGGGGCTATTAATACTAGACTAAGAGTTAAGATAGTAGTTAAG